TTAATCATCACTCAAGTTTTTTTTAGCACATTCTCATCTAAAGAACAATGACCACAGTAATTATCAGTAAATCTCAGCATCGATAGCACATCAACAGTATTTATCAGTATTTATCAGACGCAACAGTAAAGACGACAGTAATTATCAGTATTTATCAGAAACAACTAAAATTATCAGTAAAAACAGTAAGAATAACAGTAAATATCAGTACTTATCAGCAAGAACAGCACAGTATCAGTAATTATCAAACATTATCAGTAAAATTTGGGATTCTCAGCACTTTTTTCATCCAGTAGTGGAAATTCCTTAATACTAAGAATCCTTAAAACTAGGAATCTTTAAGGGATACCTGCAGAGCAATCCTGTGTTGCACCATTTTATCTACTGTGTATTTCCCTTTTAATACTGTTGCCATGGAACCTAAGGGAGCTAACTCCAAGACAATGGCTCGTGGTTGAATGGAAACTCCCAAAAGGGAGACAACACTGGGGTGATTCAGACATCTCAGGACGTTCACCTGAATAGCAGTATATCTTTTGTTTGATTTTTCATGACAGATATCTTAAAAGAAATTGACACCTCTCATGCATCTTAATCAGAATATATCTAATATTTGATTTCTCATGACAGATATTGTAAAACAAATTGACACCTCTCTCAGATCTTAGGAATAGTAAAGCTCTGAGCACAATATTATATAAATAAAGAATTTTTCAATACGATTTTTTCTTCTTTATAATTGACTTTGTTTTAATTGTTGAATTGTTGTAACATGTAGTACCTCCTGTCTGAGCATTTTATGAGGGTGGATGTCTCCTATGGCAGAGAAGACTTTAACAGCTGTTTCCTGTCCCTGATATGTCATCTGATACACATTACCAAAGCCTCCATCTCCCAGCTGGTTAGCAGCTCTAAAAACAATCACAAGAGCCTTTCACAGCAATACATTTTTTATTTAACTCAAATATACTGAAATTCAGAGTCCTTGTAATTCTATCCCCTTGAAATGGACACATGCACTCAAAATGACTTAATTAAACTTCAGAGTCTGAAATAATTCATGATAATATTGTCAATGATTGTTTTGTTTGAAGAAGACAAACTGTTGTACACACGTCTCCTGGAAATCTAATTTCCTGATCAGAAGATGTGAGGGGAGATCACTCATCACAATGTCAGGGGCCTGAAATTAGAAATCATTTACAGATTTATAGCTACATTGTCAAGGCCCTAGCTGTGATCAGAAATTATTTTACATCATTATAATTAAAGTGTTAATTTCAAGCACATAGCAACAGAGTTCACAATTCTTTACTGCAATACATGTATTCATGAAACATTTCAAAACAAAATTTTCCATATAAAATTAAGGATCCATTTAAGAATCTTGTTAAAATTTCATTAAAACTTGAAAACTTTTTGAGACATTTTTGAAGCAAATAAACATTTTTTTATGTTCTCAACCGACACGCTCTGAGAGATACATAGATAACACATTTTGTAATAAAGACATCAATTATTACACCGATTTCACTTACAAGTTGTGAGAGAGACACCAGATTATTACACTGGTCACATATCACTTCATTACTGCTCTCTGATGTTTGTAACAAGTCCTCTACCTTAAAGAAGTGGGGTGGATCTCCTTAAATGAAAAAAAAAAAATTGAAAGTACATATACTTATTAGAATTTCAATATTGCTATGTTTTATTATTACCACATGTTGATTCTTTTTTTCTTTAAAAAGCTAAAGAAATCCTAGCAAGCCACTGATTGGTTCCTGTGACATCATAATGGAGATATCACGCTTCTCATATTAAGATGTCACAATAAACAAAAGGGTTTTTTTTTAGTAATATACATACATGTACACTGTTATACTAACTCTATGAAATCTGTCATACATACTTGTACACATGAAACAAGGAACAAACTTCTCTAGGAGGTCTTGTCCCTGCATCGGGTCAATGGTGGTCAGACCTGGGTACCATTCCTCTATTAGGCCATCAATGTGGTCTACTACTAAACCGAGGATCCTGTTAATAAAACAACCAACAACATGTGATCAACTACTTATTCTAGAATCCTGTCAAAAAACAGCCAACAATCATGTGATTATGTAAATAAAACAGACAAGAACATGTGATCAACTACTAAACATAAAGGATCCTATAAATATAACAGCTAACAACATGTGATTAACTACCAAACATAGGATCCTGTAAACAGCTAACAACAAGTGATCAGCTACCAAACATAGGATCCTGTAAACAGCTAACAACATGTGATTAGCTACCAAACATAGGATCCTGTAAACAGCTAACAACATGTGATCAGCTACCAAACATAGGATCCTGTAAACAGCTAACAACAAGTGATCAGCTACCAAACATAGGATCCTGTAAACAGCTAACAACAAGTGATCAGCTACCAAACATAGGATCCTGTAAACAGCTAACAAGTGATTAACTACCAAACATAGGATCCTGTAAACAGCTAACAACAAGTGATTAACTACCAAACTTTGGATCCTGTAAATATGACAGACAAGAACAAGTGATCAGCTACCAAACCTAGGATCCTCTAAACAGCCAACAACATATAATTAACTACCACACTTAGGATCCTGTAAATATGACAGACAAGAACATGTGATCAGCTACCAAACTTAAGATCCTGTAAACAGCCAACATGTAATTAACTACCAAACTTAAGATCCTGTAAACAGTCAATAACATATAATTAACTATCAAACTTAGGATCCTGTAAATATGACAGACAAGAACATGTGATCAGCTACCAAACCTAAGATCCTGTAAACAGCCAACAACATATAATTAACTACCACACTTAGGATCCTGTAAATATGACAGACAAGAACTTGTGATCAGCTACCAAACCTAAGATCCTGTAAACAGCCAACAACATATAATTAACTAACACACTTAGGATCCTGTAAATATGACAGACAAGAACATGTGATCAGCTACCAAACCTAAGATCCTGTAAACAGCCAACAACATATAATTAACTACCAAACTTAAGATCCTGTAATCAAAACAATCATAATATCACATATTTATTATACTGAATATAAAATTGTTTAATCAGATCTACATGTTATTTACATCCAGTGTTTGAAACTCACTATGAAATTGGCTAGGCTGACCACTAGTAAAAGTTGTCAGCCCTGCCAAAGATCTACTAGCCCTGAGAAAATAACTACCTCTTTCAATATCATGTTTATAATTTGGATCCTGATAATATAACTGGCCAGTTCTACCAGCACTATTATTTGACATGAGACAGATTTATCAATCTCAATTTTAATTGGTTTACACTCCCAGTTGGGTGTTGATACTAGCAAATTGTTTGCCAGCAGTGAAATTTATGCTTCTCAGGTGGCCAGGCACACGATTATTTCACACACTGTTTACATCATACAGTCTTCAAACATTTCGATGATTTCATTTAAATATCTGAGGTCAGAATATAAAATTACACACTGTAAATCTTTGTAATGGACTGCAGATAAACTTACATTCTCCCTTGTCCAGAAATAGGCACTGTTATAGCTATTTCTTCCTTGTTTCCTGAAATCCCCTCAGAATCCACTAAACAGAATGTCTCCTATAAAGTCATCACAATTATCTTAATCATAATTCAGGAACATGTAATAATGAAATCTTGATTCATCATTTATTCACTTCTCCAGTAAATTTCAACAAGAGGCCCAGGAATCACATCGCTCACCTGAGCACTGTGGCTAGGAAAAAAGCAAATATCAATTTAGTATTGAAAATCTTTAATGCATAAGTGGCCCCTACCTAACCCAAAAAGAGAGTGGGGGTATTAATTGAACAAAATTGAATATACACTAACTAAGGATGCTTACATATTTTTTTTGACTTACTGTGACTTTTTTCCCTACAAGTTTGAAATTTCATTGTGGCCCAATCCTATCCCTGGGGGTTATTGATTTGAACAAACTTGAATTTACACTATCTTAGGATGCTTCCATATAAATATGACCAACCATGGCTTTGCTGTTCTTGAAAAGAAGATTTTTAAAGATTTTTCCTATATATTCCTATGTAAAACTTTGATCATCTGTTGTGGCCCCACCCTATCTCTGGGGGTCATGATTTGAATAAACTTGAATCTGCACCACCTGAAGATACTTTCACATATATATGACCAATCATTGCTTTGCTGTTCTCAAGAAGAAGATTTTTCCCATATATTCCTATGTAAAACTTTGATCGTCCATTGTTGCCCCACCCTACCCCCGGGGGTCATGGTTCGAATAAACTTGAATCTACACCACCTGAAGATACTTTCACATAAATATGACCAATCATTGCTTTGCTGTTCTCAAGAAGAAGATTTTTGAAGATTTTTCCTATATATTCCCATGTAAAACTTTGATCATCCATTGTGGCTCCACCCTACCCCCGGGGGTCATGGTTTGAACAAACTTGAATCTGTACCACCTGAAGATCTTCCAAATATATATGACCAATCATACCTTTGCTGTTCTTGAAAAGAAGATTTTTGAAGATTTTTTGTATACACTCCTATATTAAACTTTGATTGTCCATTGTGGCTCCACTCTACCCTGGGGGTCATGATTTGAACAGACTTGAATCTACACCGCCTGAAGATCTTCCATATATTTGCAGATCTTGAGAAGAAGATTTTTACAGATTTATCCTATATATTCCTATGTAAAACTTTGATTGTCCACTGTGGCCCCACCCTACCCCTATGGGTCACAATTTGACAAATTTGAATCTACACTATCTGACAATGATTCCACATGAGTTTCATCTTTCTTGGCCCATTGGTTCTTGAGAAGAAGATTTTTCAATGTTGCCATTAATTTTTTGCTATCTCGTAATTATCTCCCCTTGGAGGAGGGCATGGTCCTTCATTTGAACAAAATTGAATCCCCTTCACCCAAGGATACTCTGTGCCAAGTTTGGTTGAAATTGGCCCAGTAATTCTAGAGAAGAAGATGAAAATGTGAAAAGTTTACGACAACGCCAACGACAACAGACAATGGACAAATTTCGATCAGAAAAGCTCACTTGAGCCTTTGGCTCAGGTGAGCTAATAAAAATCTGATTTAAAAAAAACCCTTACTCTACTCCAGAACATGAAAATGCCCTTATTCCAGTAAGTCAAGGCTGGTTCATGTCCTCCAACCAACACCTTAAACAAGATGCATGGAAATGTTAAAGTACCATGACCTTGAATAGCTTTGTCCACTTGTTCATGACATATTTCACAATAAAATTATTTGTATATCTATATCTGGTACAAAGTTGATTTCAAAATAATTCATAGTTTTCAACTAAGACACAGGGGCTGACAAATAGATTTTTTAAGTACTTGCCCATGGGCGAGTACATGGTCAAAATTCACTTGCCCTACCTGAATTTTTACTTGCCCCACCATAAACTATGAAAATAGGAAGACAAAAAATGATTATTACAAGTGCTCATTTCCACTTAAAACTAAAACTTGTTATTTTTTTTCATGAAAAAGTCACTTGCCCTCGGGCAAGTGGTTAATAAAAATTCACTTGCCCATCCCTAAAATTCACTAGTCCCGGGCGTCGGGCAATGGGATTTGTCTGCCCCTGAAGACATGCATGAATGTAAACTTAAAATATTATTCATAATAAATTTATTTTCTGCCAGACATTGTATGGTACATGAATTCTATAAACAAATCACAGACTGATTTCTATTACATTTTGTGACAATAAGACTGTACCTCTGTGACCTGACTTTTAGAGAAGACAATTAGGCGAGTGATGAGTCGAGACCACATTCCTAAAGGGACGTAAGCCATCATATAGTAACGACAGATTTTGTCTGGAAAAGAGAATGACAGAAAACAGTCACTAACTGAAAATACCACTAGAGCATAATTAATGGACAGCATTTAAAACATTGGTATACGGTAAACCATCTTCCTTCAAAATTATATTTGTATCTTCTATGAAATTTTGATAATAAATACATGTATACATGCAGCAATTTTGTTAATAAATACATGTATACATGCAGCAATTTTGATTTACAACTTTTCTATACCAAGCTGTCCTTTTTTTTAATAAGATTAAACATAAATGTTCAATGATGATGGATTTCTGTGACTTTCCTGTCCTCTCACAGGAAACTTGAGAACACTGATACCTAGACATGGCAAGCTGGTTAAGAAGTTACAATCTTATACAGCTGTACTCAAGACAGATTATTTAAATGGTAACATTCTTTTATATTATTTCAGAGATATAAATAAATTTTAAAGTAACATTATTGCACTACAATATATAATCAGACAACTATGAATATGTAAAAGATCAAGACTACCTTTTTTGGATAACATTGGCATATTGAGATGAGGCTTCTTTTCTGGCAGGTGGCAAGGAATCAGAAGCTCTTCATCAGAGTATGGTAGAGCTATCTCAAATCTTATTAGAAAATTTTTTAACTCATCACACAATTTGCAGTGCAGACAGGGATCGACATTAACGGTTGTCCGATTGCCCGGGACAAGTAAATTATCAGTTCGGGCAAGTGAAATTGTCGACGTACTTGTCCGATCGGGCAAGTGATTTTTTTTTATACAGATGTACATATTTATTTAGTTTACATTAATTTATAAATAAAACAATAAATTGAACACTTGATTTCCGCAACTGACAATGTTTTTGCATTCAGAATTCCTTGCTAGCGTTTCTGGATTATACCGTTCATTTAAAAATCGGGTTCGTTATTTTCTTTCGTAGTATAATACGCTCTACGTCTAACAAAATTGTGTAAACTTCTTATAAGGAAATTAGATTATTTATTCACGCACAGAATGTAAGTACAGTGTAACACGGTGTATCGTGATCAAGATAAGATGTATGTTTCGTAGCAACTATCTTCCTTTAGCTTTGCTTCACAGTTATCTCTGAAAATCACGATTCACAAAAGGATCCTACCGAAAATAATTTTTTAAAATATGAATTATATTAAAAGGAAAAGGGGGTTATTGCTGCATGGCAGTGTGTGTTAACAGGTTGAATTTACAAGTACAGTGGTATACATTTATGTACTAATGCAGCACCGAAATTTTGTTCACGTAGCTCAACTTGTCAAATTGACAGTAGTGTATTTGGTCACATTTTTTATATCATAACGTTTACAGTAATAAATAATTTTCTTCTCAAGTTCTTTCTTAATTTTGGGCAACCAAGTTTTTCATTCGGACAAGTCAAAGTTTGAGATCACTTGCCCTTCGGGCAAGTGAATCTGAAAGTTAATGTCTATCCCTGGCAGAAAAGAATCAGTCAAATTGTTGACACCCCCCCTTTTGGTACTTATACAATCTTTGTTTTCTGCATAATCTTTTCAGATACACAATTTTTAACTGCATTGCATTATGAAATAAAATTAGATATGTTAAATGAACTTAACTGATGCCAATGTAAAGAAATTATTTCATTAAATGATTGACTTAGAGGCACTCTTAGACTTATCTATACAAAACAGAATATAAAATAAAAAGACATGTCATTGACTGACTTTTCAAGTAGCCTTAAATACTGTGGAATCAGATCCCTGGGAAACACAAAATTTTCCACTTTCTTCCCTGTAAACAGCAAATTCACATCTTTTTTTCTTAAAATCTACAAAGACAAAAAATATACACATAATAAGCAGAAATTTAAGCAAGGATTCAATTTTGGCATTTTTAGCAAGGTTGTTGAGATCGCTAAAATTCAATATCGCTAACAATTCATTTCACATCGAAGGTTATCCTTATCTTACAATAGATATGTATCAAAAAATTGCTAAAATTACTTCTCGCTTAAATAAAATATTTACTTTTTTAGGAAATATTGCTAAATTTGCATCTTGCTAAAAATTCACTTATACGGTATTACACCAGACAGCTGTATACAATTAAGTACAATGAATTAATAAAACATGAATGTGAACCCACATTTGATAATTCAGTTGATCTTTTTTTTTGATTTAATAATACTTACCCCATTCTTGATGAATGGATTGATCTGATGTACGTTGACGACCTGTGCCATCATCCTACACAGCCAACCGGGGTCAATAAAATAATAGTCTCTTAGATCTAGGGCTTTCTCTGGGTAATGCAACAGTACTCCACATTCATGTAAAAACCTCACGGCCTGTAAAATATATAATTCATGTAGCTGTCCTAGGTTCAGCCTGTGAAATACAGTTCACATATAAATCTCAGTCTGAAAAATTAAGTTCATGTAGAAATCTCACAGCCAGTGAAATATAGCACATGTAAAAGTCTACCAATATGTGTTCAGAAAAAACGTTAAGCAAGAACAACAAATAGACAAATCCAAAGGTAAAAACTTTAGTCTTTCAAACCTACTTATCCATCAATAAGATACCTGATGTAATTCCTCTTCATCCAGATCCAGGGCCGCGTCCTGAACAATCTTCAACATCTGGTTGTGTTTTATCACAGGGAACGAACTCTCTACCTTCTTTGTCTCTGCCAGTAAATCAGCTAATTTCTAAAACATCAATAGGATTTTAGGGGCATACAACATACATGTATCAATCAGTCATATAATTGTTATGGCTGTAGTAATTTTTTACCAATGAGTTAACTCTTTATACTGACTTTATGCTCAGTGGCCTATTTCAGTATTGTAAAAAACAGGTTTGGGGTTCATATTCCTGTAAGGATTTACAGAATTTAATATTTTCAGATGTGTGTTTCTACACGACATTGGAACCTGCCTCAGCTGGTTGTTAAAGCTAGAAAACTCTTCAGAGAGATTCTTTAACACTCCAATGGGTAATGGAATGGGTATGGACATTATACACTTAAACTTAATTCTTTAAAAATTTATAGTCATTCTACAACACACATTAATCTAACTGACCACATAGCTGGCAGGTACTTTCTGTCCCATCACAAACTGTCCTCTGACCTTGTACCTGAAAAAGAACAAAGATAATTAGTACAAAAACAGTCTTCTTAAGTGTCATCATCTGTTTTACTTCATGTTTACCTTATCTGTAACAAGTACTACCGTATTATCAAAATTACACTTTAAAAAATCAGGCAAATTTAGTTAGGATTTCTTAGCAAGACAGTGTTTTGATCAATAACATAATCTATCACTAAATCCTTTTTCTTTTTTCATACTTACATAGTGATGACTACAAGTTTTATTTATGCTAACAGTTCGGTAAATCAACAAATACTGTTTTAGTCTGTTTATACTCACTCATCTACAACTTTTTTGATAATTTCTCTCAGCTGATCTATAGTTGGATTTTCTGTGGTACATATCACTGGTTCACAGTGTTTGACTTCTGGATATCCTAAAACAAGAAATACATAAACCATAACAGACTTAAAGGATACTGTAGATCACCAAACACCTTATTTTCAGGGAACTTTTTGGTATTAAGGGGGGATTCTTCTCTTATTCTACTCATATTTCTTGTATTTAAAAATTAATGAAATTTTCATAGATTCAAGAAGACAATATCACTAAGTGATGGTATCAATTAGATTAAATTTGACCGTTTTATTTTAGAAACAAGGTCAGGTCAAGGTCATTATCTTTTTCCTTGACATTTAGAGTAAAAAAAAATACTGTTGCTAATCATATGATGCCTACTATTTTAAAAGATAAAATGTTTTTCTTTTTGCACAAAAAGATGTTACCATATCAGGTCTATCAGATGATTCTACCAAATTAATTGACATTAACTTATATAGATATTGGCTGATTCGGATTTCCTCTGTTTTTCTTAATTTTTTAGGATATATTAGTTATTTTTATATACTTCTTATATTTAAATATTTCTTATTTTTACATATGGTAAAGTAGTCATATAAATATACAAAATGATACAAAAACAAAAAGCTTTGACCGTTTAGTAAGGCCAAACAAAAAAATATGTGTGGTTCCGGTTACACCTCCAAAAAAATTAGGGTAGGTAGGTAGGTTTTTTTTTTTTTTTTTTTTTTTTTTTTTTTTCTTACAAAATGATTTTTCTAAATAATTCCTATCACTGCTTTGCAAGTGGCGTTTAGATGTGGCATGATAATATACAAGTCAACATTGGTAGGGACACCCTAGTTACAAATATGAAACAAATATTTTTAAATCAAAAATAATAAACACTCTTATAATCTTATTAATTTCTTTTTTGTAAAAAAAAAGTTTGAGGCGAACATCCTTTTTATAAATGAAATTAATGACTTTTATCCAGAGTAATTCTTATTTTATTTAATAATAAATTTTGAATTATAAACTAGAAAACAGGCATAGAGTACTGCTAAGAGCTGTCAGAGGAAATATATTTAATATTGTGAAAATGTTAAATTCTTACAATGAACATTTTTTGCCTCATTGAAGACTTTATACTTCCAAGCTCATTTCTCATATATATATTGGTACTATGTGAGTTGACTTTATTCAGGTAAAATCAGCTGTCTTGTTTTTCACTTTCCCTCAACTGTTTTTTGTTCTACTTTTGGTTTAAAAGAAACGATCCTGATTTAAATTATTTCATAATTTACAAGTTAATCTATCTTACACATGCATTGGGCTAGTTCTTGCGTAATCAATGCAATCAAATGATGTTTTCTCATGCCCTAACTCCCAAAGGCATATTACCTGGCCAGCTGTCTGTGAACGTAGATTTATTTCATTTTGGCAAGCAAAAACAAAACAAAGCAAAAAAACATGGTGCTGAAAAAAAGGAATGATTCTGCGCTATGCTAACTTGCTTTAGATTTAACACTATCAATTGAACACTTGTAAGTGTTGAAACGATCTTTTGCGTGGTGGCCGCCATTGCTAAAACTAAAACTAATCCCGGAGCCCATCATGGAAAGCTGGGAAAATTCCGGAAAAAAAACAAAAGAAAATTGCCGGAAAAAAAGTTTAGGGTTGGGGGTGTAAAATAGGGATGGTCGGGTAACCGGAACCACACATATTTTTTTAATTGGCTTAAGAGAGAAAAAAAACTTTTAACTGATTTTTTGCTCAAATCTGTTGTAAGGTTGGAGGCTTTCAAAAGCTAACAAGATTGTAGTTCATTTAGAAAACCATTTTTATTTGCTATGCTTTAAAACTTTAGGGCATTATTATTAATTTTAGTTACATATCAAAATTTCTTCAGGTCTTTGATTGTTTAAAAACATTAACAACATGTAATGTTCTGTAAGTGATTTTGATAGGCAGAAAAGGAGATATTTTCATACGCCGCAGTTGCGCCAAAAATATAGTCCCTTATGGATTTCAAACCCAGTTTACCATTTCTATTTAAAATTGTACAATTATGATAAGTAAAGAAAGATATGATCTTTTAAATGCATTACAGCTAAGTTTATAAGACATTCAAGCAAATATACTTGGAATATTTCATCTTGTCAGAAACCAGACAAGAATCCCTCCTTAATGAATGAAACAAAAATTTTCATGAATTTTTTTTTATTGGTGTATATAATTATTCTTTAATAAAATAAATATACTTTATATAACGAAAACTAAATTTTGGCAAGCAGATAGTCTCACATAAATACATGAAAAATACAGTGCTCAACATGAATAACAAGAGGCCCATGGGCCACATCGCTCACCTGAGCACACTGGCTAGGCAAAAGCACGAGTTCAGTATTGAAAAGATTACCACCGCGGGGGGGAGGGGGGGGGCTTGAATTTTAAACTACCTGATGATGCTTCCATGTCAATATAACAAATGGCTTTCTTGTACTTGAGATGTTCAAAAAAAATTTCCCATATATTCCTTTGTAAAAATTTTATCCCCCATTGTGGCTCCTCCCTATCCCAGGGGTCATCATTTGAACAAATTTGAATCTACACTACCTGATGATGCTTCCAAGATATTATCCTATATATTTCTATTTAAGACTTTGATCCTCCATTATGGCCCCACCCTACCCCCGGGGGTCATGATTTGAACAAAATAAAATCTACACTACCTGAGGATGCTTCCACATAAATATGATCAATCAGGGCTTTGCTGTTCCTGAGAAGATTTTTATAATTTTTCCTAAATATTTCTATGTAAAACTTTGATAGTCAATCATGGCCCCGCCCTACCCCCGAGGGTCATGATTTGAACAAACTTGAATCTACACTACCTGAGGATGCTTCCAAAAAAATATGACTCATCATGGCTTTGCTGTTCTTGAGAAGAAGATTTTTGAAGGTTTTTCCTAAATATTTCCATGTAAAACTTTGATCCTCCATTGTGGCCCCGTCCTACCCCCGGGGGTCATGATTTGAACAAATTTGAATCTACACTACCTGAGGATGCTTCCATATGAATATGACTCATTATGGCTTTGCTGTTCTTGAGAAGAAGATTTTTAAAGGTTTTTCCTATATATTTCTATGTAAAACTTTGATCCTCCATTGTGGCCCTGCCCTACCCCCGGGGGTCATGATTTGAACAAACTTGAATCTACACTACCTGAGGATGCTTCCTTATAAATATGACTCAACATGTCTTTGCTGTTCTTGAGAAGAAGATTTTTAAAGGTTTTTCCTATATATTTCTATGTAAAACTTTGATCCTCCATTGTGGCCCTGCCCTACCCCCGGGGGTCATGATTTGAACAAACTTGAATCTACACTACCTGAGGATGCTTCCTTATAAATATGACTCAACATGTCTTTGCTGTTCTTGAGAAGAAGATTTTTAAAGGTTTTTCCTAAATATTTCCATGTAAAACTTTGATCCTCCATTGTGGCCCCGTCCTACCCCCGGGGGTCATGATTTGAACAAATTTGAATCTACACTACCTGAGGATGCTTCTATATTAATATGACTCATTATGGCTTTGCTGTTCTTGAGAAGAAGATTTTTAAAGGTTTTTCCTATATATTCCTATGTAAAACTTTGATCCTCCATTGTGGCCCCGCCCTACCCCCTGGGGTCATGATTTGAAGAAACTTGAATCTACACTACCTGAGGATGCTTCCACATGAGTTTCATCTTTCCTGGCCCTGTGGTTCTTGAGAAGAAGATTTTTAAAAGATGCTATTAATTTTTCACTAATTCTTTATTATCTCCCCTTGGAAAAGGGCGTAGCCCTTCATTTTAACAAACTTGAATCCCCTTCACCCAAGGATACTTTGTGGCAAGTTTGGTTGAAATTGGCCCAGTGGTTCTTGAGAAGAAGTCGAAAATGTTAAAAGTTTACAGACAGATGGACAGACAGACAGACGGACAGCTAGACAGACGGACGCCGGACAAAAAGTGATCAGAAAAGCTTACTTGAGCCTTCGGCTCAGGTGAGCTAAAAGTGATTTACAGCATTACATGTGCATTGATAGACATGACACTATAGGGACCAGTTTTGCTTGGTAGAGTTCCAACTTGTTGCAATTACGTACTGACCTCCTTTAGAAATGATATAGTTGAGTCTCTCGGTCATCATGTCTACCAGTTCTGGGCGTTTTTCCTCAGGGACCTTGTCTAGGTGGGTCATCACCACGACAACAGGACACCCTGGGGCTCTTGCCTGGATGTTACATAACCATGGCTTCAGTTGGTCAATTTCAGATGTCCCCCCTTTTATATTACACACTACCTACAGAGTACAAATCAAGTTAAATATAGTTACTGTAGCCCAAGTAAAGTCATACTATTAGTAAAGTAAAAACCTGACATTCACATGTATAGAGACTGAGTTTAGCTTCATTTTGAACTTTTAACTACACAACTAAATGTAAACAACTTCTGCATAAATACACCAGGAACTCGTCAGATACTTTCCCCAAAAAATTGTCATTTTTTTGGAATTTGCACAAGCTTAATGCCAAAAAATGTCAATAGTGACAAAACTGAGTTCATTAAAGGGGCGTGGACACTGATTTGAAGTTATTTTTTTTCAAATTTTCTGCATAATATCATGACTTTTATGTTGCTATAGGATTTCACGCAGAACTATATATTAGAAGTGTGTTCAGAAACTTTTTTTTATCTGGAAATTATTGAAACTGCAAATTTTGGGACACATTTGATTGACACATCCTTGCACTATCACAAAGTGAACTTTAACCTTACTACTTAAGAAAAGTAGAAATTTTGCTGTGTATATGTATTAATGTATTCATGAAAAAATATTAAAACTATAATCCACAAAATTCAGAGTAGAAAGTGAAAAAGCAAAACCAACTCACCAGTATTGTCAGTCCGTGCTCACTGATGTGTGCAGAGTTTAACAATTAAATTGAACATACCCAGTGAAATGTAAACATTAACAATAACAGAGCTTGTGCAGTGTTTACAAAAACAGATGTTTGACGTGATGTAAAGAAGAATGTCACTGTCATTGAATTCTAAGAAAATTCATTCAAGTTCAGTTCATTTAATGGGTTTTATTTTTTTGAATAAGCATAGAAATTTAAAATGTAAACAATGCAACTGTGTCCAGGCCTCTTTAAGCTAAAGCTAGTCTAAGATTCTTTTGATTATCCCTATGCATTGAATGGCTTTGAAGTACATTAATTTACACAATAAATGTTTGACATAATAAAACATGGGGCTGATAAAAGAGGAGATAACTCTACCAGATAGAGGGCTCTGTTGGACAGATAACACTGATGTGTGCTGTAGAACTCTTCCTGTCCCGCAAAATCCCAGGTACTCAGGGTGTATGTTACTGTGCCCTTGTTTTCACGACGTCTCTCATACCTAGAGAACAGATTAATGCCTGATTAAATCAATGTGAAAATACCAGTGTTCAAGTTCAAAGGTATATATAAATTCTACAAGAATTACATAGATTCAGATATTAACTGCAGTAAAAACATATGCATTCAAAGATTATAAAGCACACCTCAATGAATATTATCTAATTAAATGTACAAGTAAGGCTAAGTCTCACTAAAGTTGATTTTTTTTTTACAGTGTGCATCCTTAAATGGTCTGGATAGGACTTATAGTTACTTGGGAATGAACCTACTAAAAACTTAATTAAACCTGAATATTTTTCTATTGAGTGTTCGCTGAAAATGCAGTATCTGAAACCTGACTGGTACACTGAAACAAACGGAATGCATCATCAATAAAGCTGTGATCAATATAGGCCATAGAGTTACTTGGAAATAAATGATCTCCTCCAAAAACTTAAACCTTGGAGATCAGTCTGATCGCTCCCCCAACTTAGTAAAGGTCAGCTGAAAATGTCTACATACAAACAGATGGACAAAAGGACAGTCAGACAAGGTTATTACCATATACCTCCACAAAATTCTTTTATAGGTGTATATATTAAAGAAACTGAATTCAAGTACAGGCAATCATTATATCTTTGTCCTGATTGACATATTTAACTTTGTCAAAAATATCAATACCCTGGATAACTCTAGCAGCATTTAAATCACATGACAGGAATTAAGACTAGGAAGTTAAATGTTAATTAAACAGTAGCTATATAAGGAAACCATCTTAGATTTACAGGTGAGATCTTTCAGAATTGTAAGCTTTGATAATGATTTTTCAGATTGAATTCTCTTGGTGTATAATTCAATATTTGTTTCATTCAAAAGTTCAAAACTTAACATCAAATTTATCCATCATAAATTGTTTTTAAGAATTTATAAATGTCTTAAGCAAAAGGGTACAGGTGGGTTAATATCATATTATACCAACGATTTGAAGAGGTAGAATTCTGTTCAAGGACAAGATGGGTTTTTGGACCCTGGATTGGGGTTTCTCTTAGAACAAGACAATAGTTCATGATCAGAAACCTGTTGTCATTCTGGTTACAAAATAAGTATTGATTCTAAGTGATAGGAATACAGAGGTCACAGGAAGATCACATTTTTACAAAATACAAAATTCTGTGAGACAGTCAGAGTTAATTTTTAATCAAGATTTTTCTATGTGGGTGTCAAAGATCAGATTTATCCATGATGGTATTAAACAGTCTTTTCTTCATCAATTTAATGCAGCACACATTTTATACAGGAGTGGTGTGCCTATAAGGGCAACTGTACAATACATTTAATCACAAATATTTCCTGATTTTTAGTTGTATACAAAATACATTAAAACAAAATCATGAATCTAGATATATTATGTACCTGTCAGGGTATTTCATAATAGTCCTTACATCATAGAATTAAAAATAAAAGAATTGAATGCATGCTTGATTCTGAATGTACTTCCCTTTAAATTTTACAATGTTGATTTTCACAATATATTTTCAATATATGGAGTTTCAACTTTGCTTTCACAAACACTTGGATCTTTTTAAGAACAATCTGTAAGGCTTACGGGCCTCAATGCTCAATAGGACTTCTCAGTTGAATCAATGATTGTAACTCCACTGTGTTAGGAAAGGCAAGCTATAAGATAGAGGCCCAAGAGCCACAAAGCTCACACGAGTCACTTTGGCTTTGCTCTAATTATTGACATCATCAGATTTTTGAAGAATTTTTTTTTTTCGTCTCTATTCCCAGGAAAAATTTGACAACATATTGTGGCCCAATCCTAGCTCAAATGGGTCATGTCTTAACCAAACTTGAATCAATACAACTTTGATATGCTTCAATATCAGTGTGCCTATAACCCTGGCTGTTTTGGAGATTTTTTGTCCTCTCTATACATTTGATATCCAACTTTAGTCGTACTACCTATCCTTACCCCAGGCTCCATAAATTAAAAAGAAAATTTTTAACAAGATGTGTTTGTAAAACACTGATGCCCCTGTATGGCAGCTTATGCTGAAGGTTAAAGTTTCTCAAATGCAAGTCAAACTCCAGGTCAAGAGATCAAAAATGTTGGTACCCAAAAAAAGGTCTTGTCTCAAGGAATATACCTGTGAAACATGAAAGCCCTAGCACCAACCATTGAAAAATTATGGAGAAGGTTAAAGTTTTTTAAAAGTAAGTAAAACATCAAGGTTAAATGGTGCCCAAGGGAAGGTCTTGTCACAAGTGATACACATGTTCATGAAATGTGAAAGCCCTAAAACCAAACATTCAAATTATGGCCAAGTTTGAAATTTTTTAAAAGTAGGTCAAACTCCAAGGTCAAAGTCAATGCCAAAATTTTTGGTATCCAAAGGAAGTTCTTGTCACAAGGCATACAAAAACCCTAGCACTAACTGTTTCAAAATTATGGCCAAGGTTTAACTTTTTCAAAATTAAAGTAGGTCAAACTCCAAGGTCAAAGTCAAAAGGTCAAAGTTGTTGGTATCCAAAGGAAGTTCTTATCAAAAGGAATATACATGTGAAGTATGAAAGCCCTAGCACCAACTGTTCAAAAGTTATGGCCAAGGCTAAAGTTTTTTTTCAAAAGTAGGAAAAACTCCAAGGTCAAGGTCAAAGGGTCCAACTTGTTGGTATCCAAAGGAAGGTCTTGTCACAAGGAATACACATGTGAAGTTTGAAAGCCCAAACATTAACTGTTCAAAAGTTATGGCCAAGGTTAAAGTCTCATTAAATATTGCAAAAGTAGATCAAACTCCAAGGTCAAGGTCAAAGGGTAAAATATGATGGTACCCAAAGAAAGGTCTTGTCACAAGGAATACACAAGTGAAAAATGAAAGCCATAGCTCCAACCAATCAAAAGTTATGGGCAAGGTTAAAGTTTTTGCAGACAGACAGAAGGACGGAACAAAAACTATATGCTCCCGAATCTTCGATTACGGGGCATAAAAACCTGAATCCAAACAACTTGGAAATGTTTGCTTATTAGTATATTTTAGTAAATCTCTGTTTTTATCATTTCTCATGCAAACTTAGAACCTTAATTTAGCCCCATCCTAGTACCAGTGGCCTATCAGATTTGAAAAGACTTGAATCCACATTTCTTTGGAATGCTTGCATATTAATATGATGGATCATATCCCAGTGGTTCCAGAGTTGTTCATCTTTATCAGTCTTTGATAAAAATTCCATTTTTATAAATACTATGTACAGGTATCATAAATTAAACCTCTTTAATTTAATAAATTCAACAATCTGTTCCAACCTTACTTATCCATGCCAAACTATAGAAATGGTCGATACAATGACCTTGTCAGCAAATACAATTTATCATTGAGTCAAATGCTGACTGACGTTTTTCATACTAATTGTTAGGCCATTATTTACACACTGAATTGTCCATGGAATTTCCAGTTATTTCCCGATCATGACAAGGAGCACGCGGCGGGTGTGACTGGTTGGCAGGGGATGCTCACTCCTCCATGGCACCTGATCCCACCCCTGATGTTTGGAGGTCCGTGTTTGCTCTGCTCCTACTTTGTATTGTTTAATGGACTTTTGAGCTTGAATACTGTTTGTTATTTCCATATTTCATTAAATAATGTCTCTTGTTTCCAAGTCTTAAAAATCTTAATATATGAAACGACATCGCTCAATAGTTATGACAGTACTTCATAATTTCTTTTACAGCATTGTCCTCATCATGTGACTGAGATACCTATTATGGACCCCCTGGACAGAGCTCAATTACTCCTCTACTGTGATCTGTGTCAAACAACTGCATTACAGAGTCATTGTGAACTTTGTCAGATTAACCTGTGTAAGGCCTGTGTAGCGGAGCATCTCTCTGATTCATCCCAAAGACACAACGTTGTACCATACAAAGACAGAACTTCTACTCCTAACTACCCAAAATGTCAAAATCACACCCAGAAACACTGTGAACTTTACTGTGAGAAATGTGACATTCCTGTCTGTTCTACCTGTATCTCCTCTGGGAAACACAAAGGACATGACAAATCAGATATTCTGGTGAAAGTAAGTTTTAAAACAAAAAATTTAGAAAAAGACTTGATAGAACTGGAGAAAAGAATTTATCCTGCATATGAAGAAATAGCATTAGACTTAAATTTTGAAATTGTAAACTTAGAAAAACATTACGAGAAACTGAAAACAGCTGTCACCAAACAAGGAGAAGACTGGCACTTAGAAATTGATATCATTGTGAATAAACTAAAATCTGAAATTGATGAAATGAAAAATAAACAATTGGCTGCTCTAAAAGAACAGGAAAATGAAATCAAGCAAAAAACTCTCGAACAAAAACAGAGTGTATTTGATCTGAAGAAAATACTGGACTCCAATGATGTCTCTCTGATATCTATGTACAAATCCAGGAATGCTGAATTCAGACGTTTACCTCCTAAAGTTGATATAGCATTACCAAGTTTTTCTTTTCATCAGATCGACACAGAACAGCTCTATCAAATGTTTGGTTCTCTGTCAGCATTATCCATGACAACAGAAGAACATGGCTACACAATGAATACATCAGAGGCTGTATCCTGTCCTCCAGTCAAACCACTGCTTGATAAACCAGAAGTTGTCACAACCATAGACACCGGGTACAATCTATACAGTGTTACCTGTCTCAGGGATGAAGAAATCTGGACAAGCGGTTATGACAAAGTCATAAAACTCTACAACCTCCAAGGTAAACTACTCAAGTCAATTCAAACCAAATCAGGAAACTGGCCACAGGACATAGCAGTGACAAGGAGTGGAGATATAGTTTATACTGACCTTAAAACAAGAACTGTCAACCTAGTGAAGAATGAACAGATACAGGAAGTGATCAGACTACAGGGGTGGACACCTTGTCATGTCTGTAGTACCTCCTCTGGTGACCTCCTGGTTACTATGGTCAGTGATGATGAAGAACAATCTAAAGTTGTCCGTTTCTCTGGATCCACACAAAAACAAACCATTCAGTTTGATAATGAAGGTAAACCTCTGTATTCATTTGGAATCTCTTGTTACATTAAATACATCAGTGAGAACAGGAACCTGGATATCTGTGTGTCTGACTGTGGAGCTAGAGCAGTAGTGGTGGTCAATCAGGCCGGAAAACTCCGATTTAGATACACTGGTCATCCCTCTACTACCCCGGGATCATTTAAACCACTGGGCATCACTACAGACAGTCAGAGTCAGATCCTGACAGCTGACACATATAACCACTGTGTCCACATCCTAGATCAGGACGGACAGTTCCTCCGTTATATTGATAACTGTTATCTATTTGGTTTATACGGTTTATGTGTAGACACCAGTAACAATCTCTTAGTGGCTGAGACAGACAGTGGTAAAGTGAAGAAAATCAGATACCTGTAGGAGACCTGATAACCATACAGTGAACTAATATTACCATGTTTGGTTGAACTACAGCACCTGTCAGTGAGACAAGAACTACGAAATGGATTATAAAACAATCAGTTTTTACAAAATTTATGCTATAAATGATATATATGAGACTTTTTGATAGACTTGTTAAATAATGCAATATATCAAATATCGCCTATAAAAAATATTGTATCATATCGAAATTTTTTGTTCAATACACAGCCCTAGTGGTAGAGTATATCACTTAATTCTGCTGTGACCCCTGAACTTTGAGGTATAATTAGTGACTTACTTCCAGTCCTGGACTATGACCCCTACAGTGGCCTGGTTAGTGTGTGTGTGTGTGTGTGTGGGGGGGGGGGGGGGGGGGTATTATTAGTGACTTACTTCCAGTCCTGGACTATGACCCCTACAGTGGCCTGGTTAGAGGGGGAGGGGGGTTTTGAGGTATAATTAGTGACTTACTTCCAGTCCTGGACTATGACAACTACAGTAGCTTAACTAATGTGTGTGTATGTGTGTTGGGGACTTTGAGATATAATTGGTGACTTACTTCCAGTCCTGGACTTTGACCCCTACAGTGGCCTGGTTTGTGTGTGTGTGTGTGTGTGGGGGGGGGGGGGGGGTGTTTCTGTAGTGATCTACTTCCAGTCCTGGACTATGACAACTACAGTGGCTTAGTTAGTGTGTGTGTATGTGTGTGTTGGGAGGGGGGGGGGGTATAATTAATGACTTACTTCCAGTCCTGGACTATGACCCCTACAGTGGCCTGATTAGTGTGGGGCGTCTTGTATTTCTTCATCAGAGCCCTCAGTAGAGTGGTTTTACCTCGTCCAGCATACCCAATAACCATCAGCTTCATTCTATAGTACTCTGTGGCCTAGACAAAAAAATAGTTATGTTTAATATATGCACATTTATTGCCTCATCCTCTACGATTCCAGAATTTATTAGACTAAAGTCGACTTTCAATCAAAATTTATCAGGCTAGCATAATATTTTGAACCATGTACATGTACCTACACATATTATGATATTAATAAACCTGTATCCATATGTACTTAATGCTACAGCACAATAAACTGCTGTACATGTACCTTTTTTAGCCGATTGTGTAGATATATTATCAGGTCTTTGACCTTTCCTTTCAACAATCCAGGGTCAAGGTCTAGGCTAAGTCCATGCAATGGAAACTAAATTGAAAATAAAGAAAATACAGTTTAGTTTTATGTCATACATGTAAATGTTCACAGTACATCTTTATCTATACTTATAAATTAATAAATTTTGCAAATAAACTCCGAAAGGGGTGCACCAGACTTCTTAATTACTCCTCTAACAATACAATATATACAAGATGATGTCCGTAAACTATATTTAGATTTCACTCCCATAGTAAGTATCGTACATTAAATTAAAAGTATACTTTCATTTTCTATAAACCGCCATGAAATAGCAAAAACGTGAGTACGGTGGCGTTTCCGGTTGGCGGATCTAAGTTACTGGCAATTTTTAATGAAACTGACAACAAGCAATCATTTATTTATTTCATAAAACATCATCACTGAATTATTCAATCAAAACTTGATTTAAATGATATAAAAGAAATAAGTTGTGAAAACCAATTAAAAAGAGAAATGTGCAAATTATTTTCGAAATTCGCCGATCTTAATGTTGACGGAAGCTTCTAGAACATCATATAGCATCGAGCCCGATGTTAAAAAGAAAAACGAGGCGATTACAGCTGCATGAACATAAAAAAAGCTTTTGTGTGAATGGTCATTGAAATAATGGTAAATCATTGATAACACTATAAGTTGTGAATATATTTATATATCGAAAGACTATTACATATATGTAGTAGGTTTTCCTAATAAATTTATCGGTAAAATTTGTATATATTTCTTACTGATAGCATCGTGGCAACGAACCCGAAATACAAGTTGTACTTCGTAATAAACTTGCTTACATGAAAAGAGAAAATTGATAAAAAAGATATTGTTCAAATACAATTGAAGCTGTAAATTTTTGTGCTTTAATTAATACATTTCAGGGTTTTTTTTTCTGAATACAGTCTTTGTATCAAGTGCTCGACCTATTCATAGGGAGTTAAAACTATTTTTTCCGCAGGTACTTGGGTCTTGGTTTATAAATATGTATATGTACCTTATTGATATGTAAAATAAAGTAAAGTACATTTTTTACATATCAATAAGGCACATACATATTTATAAACCAAGACCCAAGTACCTGTAAATTTTTACCCCCCCTCCCAAAAAAAATCAATTTATCAGTAAAATGTGCATATTCGCTGCTTTTATCCATGACAGAATTGAAATAAGAGCATCTAAAGTACGATATCCAGAACATAGTATTACAGGTTTCAAAATAAACGTCAATTAATGAAATTGTTATTTTTCAAGTTTTTACAAAAAAGGGGGGTTGGGGTGGAGACGTTACATGTACTTCATGCGGGATTTTGAACAAATTATTTCTTCCTGCTGTAAGCCTGTAGGCTGTCAGTAAAAACTACGATATATTTTCTGTCGGTAGTGGTATAAATTCAATTCCCCGCGCTTGCGCAGGATTTCATCTAGTATACACATAAAGAAGGCATTTATGAAAATAGCTAGATTTACATTATATGTTACAGATTATGATGGGAACACAATGTTTACCTCCCACATTTTATGACATTTTCCGAGTTCATCAGGTAGCGTAGTCAGGGGATTGTGACTCACATCTAAAGATGTTAACGAACTCAACTGGCCAATGTCACTTGGTATCTGTAAGAATATAAAATATCAATGTCACCCAGTACCTGTAATAAAGAAAATTTTAATAAATCATCAGGAATAAAGTTTCAGGTATTAAAACCTCTTTTCTATGTTGATGAAATATATGGAAATAACGAACAGTGCTCAAGCTCAAAAGTCCAATAAACAATACAAAATAGGAGCAGAGCAAACACGGAACTCCAAACATCAGAGGTGGGATCAGGTGCCATGGAGGAGTGAGCATCCCCTGCCGACCGGTCACACCTGCCGTGTGCTCCTTGTCATGATCGGGAAATAACGGTAAAATCCGTAGACAATTCAGTTTGTATATAATGGCCTAACAATTAGTATGAAAACGTCAGTCAGCATTTGACTCAATGATAAATTGTATTTGCTGACAAGGTCATTGTATTGACCATTAGAACTTACGAAATGATGTAATGTATTTTACCATGAAAAAAGGATTTCCTCACTTGGATTGTAAAACATAGGTAATTAGAGATTACAAAGCTCACCTCAATGAATGTAAGTCTTTAACTAAGGTAAAGTCCCATACTAAACTAATAACCTAGTAGTGTGCATCCCTAGATGCAACATTTACTCTCTGATAAGGCTTGCAGTTACTTGGGAATGGACTTGTTCTAAATTTAAACTACTCATTATCCAGAAAATGCAAGTCAAATCAAGCATCTGAAGCAAGTTTGAAAGTGTTCATTCCTTGATACATCATCCATGCAAGTTTGGTCTAGATAAGGCTTGGACTTACACTGGAATGAGTCTGCTCCAAAAACTTTGATCTGCTCACTCATCCAGAAAATGTTGGTCAAATCCGGCATCTGAAGCAACTCTGATAATGCATCCCTTGATGCATCATCATCCATGCAAGTTTGGTTCAGGTAGGCCATTTAGTTTATTGGTAACAGACCTGCTCAAAAAACATTAACCTGGTCACTCATCTGGAAAATGTAGGTCAGATCCAGCATCTGAAGCAAGACTGGTAGTGTGCATCCTTAGATGTATCATCCATAAAAGTTTGGTCACCATAGGGCTTATAGTTACTGTGGATTCATTTTAATTCTATGGGGATCAAGCAAAATTTTATTTGTTCATGATGAAGTAATTTTGTGGCTTACTCGTTTATACAGTAGATTCAATCAATTAGTATGTTTACAAAATAAACAGATGTAAATTTGTGGGTAAGCTTGACTTATAAGACCTGCTCAAAAACATTAATCTGGTCATTCTATAGCTGAAATTACTGCATCTGAAACCTTGACTGGTACAATGAAACATTCTAAAAGCATCGTCCATGCATCTCTCATAATATGGGGCATAGTACTTGAAAAGAAATCTGTTCCAAAAATTTTAGCCTGGGGCACTGATGCAGAGGGTATTACATAAGCTCCCCCCAACTTTGTTGAGGTGAGCTAAAACTCAGATTTTCTGTATGATTACCTCAGTCAAACCATTTTTGGACAAATGTAATGACTCAAGCTTGCTCCAAGCTTTTCCTCCCTCTAGATTTATCTACAGAAGAATTGACAATGTTAATTATGAGTTTTTAGTAAATGTGTCTCTTTCTTCTCAAGGTTGCATCTTCAATAGCATAATTTACAATCAATATAAATTAACCTTGGATATTTGGTTTCTGGACACTAGGATCTCTTTCAACATTTGTGACTTCCAAGAGATTGGTTTGGGTAGGCCCATCAACTTATTATCATTGAGGTCAATGAATTTCAGCCTGTCAAGACAATCATCGTATTGTATCAAAAAATGCTGTTAAAACCACACAATAAATAAATAACATTGACAAAAATTTCAGTGGAGAATCAAGCAGGTTGTCACTCTTATCAAACCCTGAAAACCCTGTGAAGTCAGGGTTATTCTAATTACAGAACTTCCAGAAAAATTACACATTTCTTCAGTCTGTAATTATACACGTATGAGCTAATGATTCACTCACATTGGCAGGTCCAGGATAAATTTGGGGATAAACAATGGATCTTTTCCAGTGATGTTATTATCTCTCAGTTTTACACGGGCAAGCTTTGGAAGATATTTGGCAGTTCTCTCACTGGGCAGTTTCTCTACAATTTATCAGAATAATGTATATAAGTCTACAGGATTGATATTCATTATTACAGAAGAGGCCCATGGGCCAAAATTCTCCCGAGCACATTGGCCAGGAAAAAGCAAAAATCAGTTCAGTATTGAAAAGATTAAAATTCCCTGGGGGGTGGGGGGGATGGAGAAGGGGCATGACTTATTTACACTTGTATCTACACTACCTGAGGATGTTTCCATATTTCTTTGACTAATCATGGCTTTAGATTTTTTTTTATATGTGTTTGATATTCTATTGTGGCCCCTCCCTACCCTCGGTGGTCACGATTTGAACAAACTTGAATCTACACTACCTGAGGATGCTTTCATATAAATATGACTAATCATGGCTTTGCTTTGCTATTCTTGTGATTTTTAACGTTTTTTCATATGTTTTCCATATAAAACTTTGATGGCCCATTTTGGCCCCACCCTATACCCCGGGGGTCATGATTTGTACAAACTTGAATCAACACGATGTCAGGAAGCTTTCATACAAGTTTCATTTTTTCTGGCCAAGTGGTTCTATAGAAGAACATTTTTAAATGACCCCACTCAATTTTGACTTTTTCTAATAATCTCCCCTTGGAAGAGGGTGTGATCCTTCATTTGAACAAATCTGAATCCCCTTTACCCAAGGATACTCTGTGGCAAGCTTGGTTGAAATTGGCCCAGTGGTTCTTGAAAAGAAGATGAAATTGTTGAAAATTTATGACAGTGATGAAGACAAGGACAGACAATGGATAAATTTTAATGAGAAAAGCTCACTTGGGCCTTCGGCTCAGGTGAGCTATAAAGCATTTAACAAATATGTCAACATTTACTTTCAAAAATATAATATCATATGCAAGTAAATGACAATAATATCAACCACCAACTCAAAATAAAATTGTTGAAGGCTACACTTCAGTAACCTCTACAAATGTGAAGTAATGTACGTGTATATTTATTAGGATGTTATAACTGTTACCAATTTGATTAAAGGCTGCCTCTAGTACTTCCATCCTGGGACATTCACACAGGAAATTCTCTGGAATCTCCACTAGCTTGTTTTTATTCAATTCCAGCTTCCTTAAGCTGACCAGTCCTAGTGTGTCCTTGTCAGTCAACTTATCCAGGCTGTTACTGTAAATAAAAAGTTATCTACAATTCATCAAGTGAGACATTTAAATCCAAATAAGTTAATACACATAAAGACTCTGGTGAGCAAAAATACTTCTTATACAACAATTCAACAGAATACTCTTCTTAACCTATTCAGACTTAATGGGAAATCATAGCAGATTTGTTTAATTTAGTCAATGTGTTTCTGAGTAGCAGGAAAACATCATAAACTCGTAAAGAAAAAGAGCAGCTCATAATGCCGTACCTGTTGACTGAGAGCATATCAAAGCTTAGTAAAGACCTTCCAAACATTATGAGGGATGTCAGATTTAGATTTAGATGTCAGACAAACTTACCATGTTATGAGGGCTATCAGATATACCTGTTGATTTGGAGCACCTCAAGTTTAGTGAAGACCTTCCCAATGTTATGAGGGATTTCAGACAAAGCATTATGGTCAAGGTGTAGCTCTATAAGATTTGACTGCATAAGAGAATCCAATTTCCACTGAGTTATCTACAAAACATTCAACATGTAAACTTTAACACATTAGCAAAACAGAAAATCCTTACAATTTACATGCAACAAATTTCCGATGCTAGGAATACTGAAAAATCAGGTATATTTATTTCATTAAAAACCTAGACCTAGACAGACTTCTTGTACTGTAAAAACAGTTAGACTAATGGGTATGTGGTTTGATATGTCTTAATTCAGAAATTTGGCAAGTGAACCCTTTGACAGACTATGTAATATTCCTATGAAATTATGGTGAGAAGGTTGATGAGTCAAAATATTGGCGATCATAAGTCATTCAAAAAACACTACAAAGAACTCACCTCATTATGTGAAAGGTCAAGGGAGGTCAAGGCAGGACAGCATGACAGGACCTCCACAGGGAACTTGGTTAGTTTGTTCTTCTTCAAGTCCACAGTGTGTAGGCTCTCCATGGACTGAAACAGAAATTAATAAATCTACACAAAAAGATCAACATCAGTTTTTAATATTTGCCACCATTGTAACTTTTGGAAAAGAATCTATTTCCGTCGTGATTTTAAAAGGTTGTGATTCACTTAACAGATAAATGCATCACTGATTACATAAAACAGAAGTTTGATTTTAAACAATAAATTTACCCTGAAATCATTTTAACTTAAACAGACCTGAAAGAAGTTGTCTGGGATGGCAGATAGGGTGTTATCAGTAAGGGTAAGTTTTCCTACTGCTGTGAAGAATTTGGGGATGTCGTCTTTGGACTTGGTGAGGGAATTCAGGGTGCTGAGATTATTGGAAGAGAGATCTAAGGACACCAACAGGCCAGCATCTGATGCCTCATTCTCCCTTCTAGAGTCATCTGTTAGGGTCAGACAAAGTTCAGTATCTCATACTAGACAAATTATCCAAATTCCATTTTCCTCAATATGGTATCATCCCTCTATCTGTATTTCTTACATGAAATTTATTGCATAAAACTTGATTTCAATAGAATTTTTAAAAACTAAAAAAATTCTACTTTTATTTTTCTCTCGGTTTAAGTTTGGATTTCATTACTTAAGATTTTCAGTCAAATTAAGCCGTAACAGTTTGTTCTGAAAAACAGGCAATCAAACATGTCTCTTACCAGACCCCAAAACAGGCAATCAAACATGTCTCTTACCAGAGCCAGCAGTAACATCTAGATCATCTGCTGAGGCGTATCGTCCAACGTCGCTAGATTCTCCATCACTAGAGGGGATAGGTGTGTGGGAATGTCTCTGGAAATATTCGTACATGCACATTTTCTACATTTTCTACACATATTAATGCATCTTTTTTATGGTGTACATTTTCTTTTACGTCAATCCAGACAAATTGCATACCTTTTTCATTAATTTGATAAGAGAAATTAAAATACCTGTAAATGTATTGAGAAGTCATATATGTAATTCAACATTTACTTAAATTTTAGAAAAGGAACAAAAACGAAGTTATCAGAGAGAATACATTTTCTTCTTTTGTTCTCATGAAAAATTTAATACATGATTCTTTTTTTTTATCAATTGAAAGATGATCAGAAATACACAAGGTTGACTACTTAATAGACTTTAGATATTTTTAAGCTTGTAAAATAGACATAAAATTGTACATCATGAAACCTTTTTCAATTATTATCAAGGGCACTTACTCGATCAGAATAAAAGACGTCATCTCTCGTGGATTCCAAGTAGGAGCTTGTCAGCGATGGAGAAGGACTCCGCATCTTTCTTGACCAGGGTCCTGTAAATAACAAACAAGTGCTGAGTACTTCTAGCCACACACAATGCTCTGTTTATGCTGTGTTACTTGTATCACTTTTGTTAATAATCAACTGGTCAGAGATCATATTTTTGTACAATCGTTAAGTCTCATCCAATAGGATGTACTAGTACATGTCTGTATTATATGACAGGTACTTGTCAACCAAACATTAACAAAACTTGTGTAACTTTATTTCAGATTTGCTTCAATGAAAACCCATGATAATTCAAGTATGTATATGCTGCAAATGAGAAGAGACCTAGACAAAAATCAAAATCATTCTTGAGAGTGAATATCCACAGAGAATTGAGCTTTCAGCAGTAGTTGTGTGATCTAAGCCATGACTGACCCTGGGGTCAAATTTAATTTATCTTACCCTGTAGAGGTATGTGTGATCTGAGCAATGGTTGACCCTGAGGTCAGAGTGAATTTACTTTCCACTGTTAAGGTATGTCACTCGTCAACCTTTTAGAAAATTTCAGTCAGAACCTCTTACTTAAAAACTATTTATTACAATTCAATCTTTATAACATATTTAAATTAAACAATGTAAAATGTTCAACATTCAATTAAAAAACTGCTCAAAAATTCACAAAGAAGCAAGATTTATAAGGGACTATTTCTTGTGGCGGAAGGATATTTAGCAGAAAATTCTGCAAATCTACACATTTATTAAATTTAATATCTTGGAACTTTAGCCTCACATACTTTTACTCAGAGAATATTTTCCGTTATGATATGCCTGGAATATTAAATATAGGTCTCAATTTATATTTTTATAACAAAATTTACACCTTCGCTCAACAAACATTGCCAAGAAATGAAGATATATTGAGGAAGTCGAGATAAAATTTACACAGTTTTTTGCCTGAAAATCGCATATTTTGACCAATATTTCAAAATTTACATCACTGACCCCAACTTTTTCTTTCATTATTTTAAACTACTCGATACTTTTGACCAATCAGCACTTAAGTCGTAAAAAGTTTGATACAAGAAAATATTCTATTGCCTATTTAGATTTTCAATACCCCAAATATGATACTTTTTTAGTGCAAAAAGGTCACACAATAATTTACGCGCATTAATTTGCATGATTTGTTCAATGATAAATATTATTCATACTATTTTACGTAAAATAAGATTATGTTTATTGCCATGGTTACATCTTATAAAATATGATAACGGTTAAAGTGATTAACCAAAGAGTTACAATTTAAGTGCAAAAAGGTCAACTTAATTGTACCGTAGCTCAGTTAGATGCACACTGACCCCCCACTTTCTCTGCGATTTTGAGTCATACTATATGAGTACTTATCCAAAATATACTTCTCAAAAAATCCTTGATATAACAAATTTCACGAGTGACATACCTTAAGGTACTAGTCTGATCAGACTTGACCCCGGGGTCAGACAGGTGTATTATCTTACCCTGTAGAGATACTGGTATGATTTGATGGGAATATTTAACCCTAAGGTCAGACAGAAATTATCTTACCCTGTACAGCTGTATAGATGCCAGTGTGATATGATGGGAATATTTAACCCTGGGGTCAGACAGAAATTATCTTACTCTGTAGAGATACTAGTGTGATCTGATTTTTTGTTACTCTGTAAAGACTGGGCAATGGTTGACCTTGGGGTCAAATTAAATTGTGCTTACCCTGTAGAGGTACTGGTGTGAGTTGAGCAGAAGGATTGATCCTTGGGTCAGACTGGCTGTAGGGAAGGTTAGCTCCAGTCAGTGACATCTGTTTCCATTCTTGTCCCTCAGCATGAGAACTTTCAAACATCCAGGATTTACTTTCACTCTCTGCTTATTAAAAACAGGCAAACATACATGTACTTATAAAACTACTCTTGCTTTCAGAGAAAAAAAAAGTGTCCAGTGACCTTGACCTTTGTGAACTAATCTGGAGTCAAGGTAAACATTAAAAAAATGATTTGTTTCATTTACTCCAACCAACCCCTTTCCAATACTTTTTTCAGTACTTAATATTTTTTTTTTACTTTACTTTTGTTTGCAGAAAATAGATCATCCATATAAGGTTAAGCTTTCTCTAAAATACATTTAGATTGAAAGATTTCATAGCAATAAATATTAAATCTATCTAGTTGTCCTGTGTATAATGAAAAACATTAAATAAATGTACAGTAAATCACTTTTTATTCGTGAGAACTTTATTTTCACGTAATTCCGGGAGACAGTGTGCTCACGAAAATTTCATTCTCGCGTATATTCATATTCCTTAAGATTATTTAGAGCAGGATTCACAATTCGTGAAAAATTAATCTAGCTAGAGTTAATGACTATATTGCCAAAATAAGGTGTCACAAAAATTTAGTGATCTATCTACAACAAGTCTGTTATTTATAAGACAATTATAAATGTGTGATGATAATTTAAAAAAAAAACTACCTACTTTGAAAAATGTTGGTTGGATTACATCAAACAAATTTTTGTTTGCTGATGACCCAAGATATACTTTCATGGTCATGTACAACAGCATATTAAGATTTGATTTCATTCAAGTCAATTGTTTGAAATTTATGGCCAGAATACGTAGTTTTGGACAGACAAACATTTATACAGTCATAGATAATTCATTTTCTAATAAAAGTCATATAGAACACATGGTAAATTCCAGCAAAAGGTTCAGAAAAAGTGGCCAGGACACACTTTCCTGACTAACACACTAACTGGCACAAAGACAACTGTGCCAAAAACAATAAATTTCCATCCCACTGAGAGAAACATCATGAAAGTTAAATCATAATATCTACTTAAAAATCAGTATTTAAGTTGAAATGGGCTTTTAAGATTAAGAAGCCCCTTTTTCTTGCTTTAAATCAAAGAGAGAATCCAATTTTGGGAGGTTATTCTACTTGATCAATAAGGGATCATTATAAGGCATCAGTACCCTCTGTGCTGTCTAAGGAGAAGACGATAGATTTCTGCTGCTCCTCTGTCACACGGACACTGCCGACGGGGCTATTAATGGGAGACAACTGTTTTCTGTAGTGGATGACATCCCGATGTAGTAGAGCATCTTCAGGGCTAGTGTTACGACGTGCAATGTCTACAATAAACAAAGCGACATCTTACTTAATAATATAGATTCATAAAATATAAAATAATGCTAAGGCTCAGCATAATAGCATATACTATATAGAGGATATTTTATGTATTGTAGTCGGGTATGGAATTTATTTCAAGGGCGGGACAGAATTTTTTTGATATTTTCAGGAGTGCAGAGCATGAGTGAAAGTATCAAAAAATCCTGTCTTAAGAGTGAAATAGTAGAAGTAATAGACAGAAAAGGTCTTTGTCATATTGAATGAAGATGATTATAATGACGAATCCATCCTTCTGTCCTCCTCTCCCTTCAAAATATTCAAGGTGCACAATCTATCCCCAAATGTACACAATAATTTTAATTTGAAAGAAATTAATGTTTTTACAAACGTGTGCTAAGAAAATGGAACTTTCTGTTTAAACAATGTCCTAACTTACTGAATCTTAAATGTTATTTTCTTTCTTCTGCATAATTAAACAAACAATGTAATCTAAAGGTTGACAAAAGAAGTCTATAAAATAGTCCAGAAACCACACAGGTATAAATGTGAGCTTATCAGTCGTCTAATGTTGGTGAAATTTCCAAGATAGTTATGTCATTTTGTGTATACTAGCAGTGTTTAGGGTCTCTATCAATATTCATAAAGTGTACATCATGAGTTAACATCCACAGAATCATGACTGTAAACCCCACCCCACACCCCCTTGGTAAAGTTGTGAGACTTCTCTTTCTCCTACCTTTGTATATTTTGCTATCTATCTCTGTAAGATCCTCATAGCTCTGTTTGAACTTGTATCTGAACTTGTGTCTGTATGTCCCCATACTGGACTCGCTCATTGAATGCTGATACTGGTTCTCCTTGCGTCTTTTTCTTTTAGCCTCACTCTCTTTGACACGGGAAGTGATATGTTTCCAGGAGCCAGCATACAAACCTACAGTATACATAAACTGAATAGAGGACTCAATAAGTGAACTTAACAAGTTCATTTTTTTTTTCAAAGAAAGCTTTTTTATATCTTAGAGATACTTCATTTAACTGAATGATATACAGACCAACAAAAACTTCCAATTCCTGATGTGTCCATCATTTTCAACACCAGTACACAACAAATGCAGCAAGAATATACACATTAAAGGAAAATTAAGAATGTTTTTAACATAAAAAAAAAATCCTGCTACAGAAAGTAATGTTTTATTTCATATAAGAAAAATCTTAAAAGTTTAACCTTCACCTTTAATACCATATAAAATCCTTATTTTGATATTTTGTACATTGCAAAACTTAGGATCAGACAGATTAAAATATGTGAATTACGTAAAATTGAAATTATGGTTCTCATATCAATTTTCTAAAACAAACACATGACAGAAGGCTCCCCCTCTCTTTTTATCAGCCATTAATTATATGTGGAAGGCAATTTTTTTATTCCAGAATTTTCTATAAAATTAACAATGAAAATTTTTCCTTCATAATTAAACTGGAGTCATTCTGTACACATGTTTAACATCTCAAAAAATTACCAAATATATGTATATATTTCATTTTCTGTGGACAATGTGTCCATGTTGATGTCCAAGCTTATATGAAATGGCTATCAGAAATGAAAATCGACTGCAAAACTACGAAAAAATGAATGCAGAATCATTTTTTCCAAATTTGTCTGCACAACACCAATTTTTTATTTTATTGAATATACGAAAAATAATGATGTGACTTATCTTAAAACACAAAGGTCAGAGAAACGTAAACCCCGTTACATTTAGCCTAATTTGCATGTTTCCCCCCCAAAAAATTCACTAACTTTAACAGAATTTTTCCTTAATTCCTTAAACATATTTTTAATGCAAAACCCTGAAGTTTTTTTTAAATAACAAACAAGACTTAAATTTTTTTATTGGTTATCTTTGTAGATAACAAACAAGACTTAGAGTTTTCATTGGGTATCTTTGGAGATAACAAACAAGACTAGAATCTGTAGAGATAACAGACAGACTTACAGTTTTCATTGGTTATCTTTGTAGATATCAGACAGACTTACAGTTTTCATTGGTTATCTTTGTAGATATCAGACAGACTTACAGTTTTCATTGGTTATCTTTGTAGATAACACACAGACTTACAGTTTTCATTGGTTATCTTTGTAGATATCAGACAGACTTACAGTTTTCATTGGTTATCTTTGTAGATATCAGACAGACTTACAGTTTTCTTCAGTTATCTTTGTAGATATCAGACAGACTTACAGTTTTCATTGGTTATCTTTGTAGATATCATACAAACTTACAGTTTTCATTGGTTATCTTTGTAGATATCACACAGACTTACAGTTTTCATTGGTTATCTTTGTAGATATCAGACAGACTTACAGTTTTCATTGGTTATCTTTGTAGATATCAGACAGACTTACAGTTTTCATTGGTTATATTTGTAGATATCATACAGACTTACAGTTTTCATTGGTTATCTTTGTAGATATCATACAGACTTACAGTTTTCATAGGTTATCTTTGTAGATATCACACAGACTTACAGTTTTCATTGGTTATCTTTGTAGATATCAGACAGACTTACAGTTTTCATTGGTTATCTTTGTAGATATCACACAGACTTACAGTTTTCATAGGTTATCTTTGTAGATATCATACAGACTTACAGTTTTCATTGGTTATCTTTGTAGATATCATACAGACTTACAGTTTTCATAGGTTATCTTTGTAGATATCATACAGACTTACAGTTTTCATTGGTTATCTTTGTAGATATCACACAGACTTACAGTTTTCATTGCTCCTGGTAGACACAGTTTTTTCTGTTTTCAAAGACCACGGTACTGCCATCTCTAACCAGACGGAGTGAAAATCTGTTACACCTAGTCCTAACCCACTCCACGGTACATGTAAGTCTGAAACAACAAACATACAAATAAATCTGTTACACCTAGTCCTAACCCACTCCACGGTACGTGTAAGCCTGAAACAACAAACATACAAATAAATCTGTTACACCTAGTCCTAACCCACTACAAGGTACATGTAAGCCTGAACAACAATCATAAAAATACACATGTATCATCTCACTTAAAGAATATACCTTAAGTGTATAAACATAGGTAATCAAAGATTACATAGTTCACCTCAACAAATGTTATCTTTAAGTAAAGTAACTCCCGACTTATCAAATACAGGTAGTCTAGTAGTGTGCGTAGTGTGCATACCTAGATGCAACATTTATGCAAGATTGGTCCAGGTAGAGCTTGCAGTTACTTAGGAATGGACTAGGTAAAGGTAATGCTTAAAGTTACTACAGGATTAAACGGGTTTTTTTTTAATTTATTGATGTGTAAACTCTTGACATTTTACTCACAAACTAAATACAAGAGGCCCATGGGCCACATCGCTCACCTGAGTAACTTTGGCCATGCTGTTCTTTACCAGATTTCCCCCTTGTAATACTTATCGTGGCCCCGCCCTACCCCTGGGAGTCATGATTTTAACAATTTAAAATCTACACTATCCCAGGATGCTTCCACATAAGTTTCAGTTTTTCTGGCCAGTTGTTCTTGACAAGAAGATTTTTAAAGATTTTTCTTACATATTTCAATGTAAAACTTGGATTCCCTATTATGGCCCCACCCTACCCCCAGGGGTCATGATTTTTACAATTTAGCATCTACACTACCCCAGGATGCTTCCACATAAGTTTCAGTTTTTCTGGCCCAGTTGTTCTTGACAAGAAGATTTTTAAAGATTTTTCTTACATATTTCAATGTAAAACTTGGATTCCCTACTATTTTTTTTTTGTTTTACATGTAGGATAAGAAAGTAGTTCTGGTCTGGTTGAGAGATTTATCAATGTGTAAACTTTTTCTTGAATTTGCTCTCGTCCAATCAAAACACAAGAAATCAATAAATAAAATTAAATTGGAATTATACTGGAATGTACCTGCTCCATAAACTTTAACCTGGTCACTCAACTGAAAAATCCAGCATCCAAAGCAAGTCTGGTAGAGTGCATCTCAAGATGCATCATCCCTGCAAGTTTGGTCAATAAAGGGCTTAAATTTACTTGGCTCTTAAGGTATGTCACTCGTGAAATTTGTTATATCAAGGATTTTTTGAGAAGTATATTTTGGATAAGTACTCATATAGTATGACTAAAAATCGCAGAGAAAACAGGGGGTCAGTGTGCATCTGACTGAGCTACGGTACAATTAAGTTGACCTTTTTGCACTTAAATTTTAACTCTTTGGTTAATCACTTTAACTCTTATCATATTTTATCAGATGTAACCATGGCAATAAATATAATCTTATTTTACGTAAAATAGTTTGAATAATATTTATCATTGAACAAATCTTGCAAATTAATGCGCGTAAATTATTGTGTGACCTTTTTGCACTAAAAAAGTAACATATTTGGGGTATCAAAAATCTAAATAGGCAATAAAATATTTTCTTGTATCAAACTTTTCACGACTTAAGTGCTGATCAGTCACAAGTATCGAGTAGTTTTAAATAATGAAAGAAAAAGTTGGGGTCAGTGATGTAAATTTTGAAATATTGGTCAAAATATGCGATTTTCAGGCCAAAAACGGTGTAAATTTTATCTTGACTTCTTTAATATATCTTCATTTCTCGGCAATTTTTGTTGAGGGAAGGTGTAAAATTTGTTATAAAAATATAAATTAAGACCTATATTTAATATTCCTAGCATATCATAACGGAAAATATTCTCTGAGTAAAAGTATGTGAGGCTAAAGTTCCAAGATATTAAATTTAATAAATGTGCAGGTTTGCAGAATTTTCTGCTAAATATCCTTCCACCACAAGAAATAGTCCCTCATAAATCTTGGTTCTTTATGAATTTTTGAGCAGTTTTTTCATTGAATGTTGAACAATTTACATTGCTTCATTTAAATATGTTAGGAAAATTGAATTTTAATAAATAGTTTTGAAGTAAGAGGTCCTGCCTGAACTTTTCTAAAAAGCTGACGAGTGACATACCTTAAACCACTAACCTGGTCACTCACATGAACATGAGGCCCATGGTCAACATCGCTCACCTGAGCACTGTGGCTAGGAAAAAAGCAAAAATCAGTTCAGTGTTGAAAAGCTTTAATGCATAAGTGGTACCAACCTACCTCTAAATGGGAAAGGGGGGGGGGGGGTGATTTGAACAAAATTGAATCTACACTAACTAAAGATGCTTACATATTTCTTTGACTAACTGTGACTTTTTTCCCTACAAGTTTAAACTTTCATTATGGTCCCACCATACCCCCGGGGTCATGATTTGAATGAATCTTAATCAACACCACATGAGGATGCTTCCATATAAATATGAACAATTATGGCTTTGCTGTTCTTCAGAAGAAGATTTTTAAAGATTTTTCCTATATATTCCTATGTAAAACTTTGATCGTCCATTGTGGGCCCACCCTACCCCCGGGGGTCATGATTTGAACACACTTGAATCTACACCACATGAGGATGCTTCCATATAAATATGAACAATTATGGCTTTGCTGTTCTTCAGGAGAAGATTTTTTAAAGATTTTTCCTATATATTCCTACATAAAACCTTGATTGTCCATTGTGGCCCAACCCTACCCCTGGGGGTCATGATTTGAACAAACTTGAATCTACACTACCTGAGGATGATTCCAGATGAGTTTCATCCTTCCTGGCCCAGTGGTTCTTGAGAAGAAGGTTTTTTAAGATTTTTCCTATATATTCCTATGTAAAACTTTGATTGTCCATTGTGGCCCCACCCTACCCCCGGGGGTCATGATTTGAACAAACTTGAATCTACACTACTGAGGATGATTCCTTATGAGTTTCATCTTTCCTGGCCCAGTGGTTCTTGAGAAGAAGATTTTTAAAAGATGCCATTAATTTTTCACTAATTTGTAATTATCTCCCCAATGAAGAGGGCAAGGCCCTTCGTTTGAACAAACTTGAATCCTCTTTACCCAAGGATACTCTGTGCTAAGTTTGGTTGAAATTGGTCCAGTAGTTCTGGAGAAGAAGACGAAATTGTGAAAAGTTTACAACGACGCCGCCAATGATGACAACGCCGACAGACAATGGACAAATTTCGAGCAGAAAAACTCACTTTAAGGCTCAGGTGAGCTTAAAATGAAGGTCAGATCCAGCATCTGAAGCAAGTTTGGTCATGTGCATCCTTAAACATATTATCCATGCAAGTTTGGTTAATATAGGGCTTACGTTACTTGAAATATGAGACTGCTCCAAAAACTTTTACCTGGTCATTCTTTGGCTGAAAACATGACTAGTACAATGAAACATACTAGAGCATCATCCATGCATCTCTTATTAAAATACAGCACAAAAATACTTAAAAAGAAATCTGCTCCAAAAACCTGGGACACTGATGCTGACAGTATTACATAAGCTCCCCCAACTTCATTGAGGTGAGCTAAAAAATCTACCACTGATTATACATATTTTCATCTAAAATCAATGAATAAATCTGACATTGAAAGAATATTGTAAAATAATCCAAAAATTCTCAATTTTCCTTTAAAGTCACAAAATAAGCCAAGACACATTTATCCATATTAATAAGAAATTTTGGATCTTTATATTAATTTTGGTGTGATTAGAGGGTAGCCTTACTTGTTCGTTTGTGACACAGGGCCCCCAGTAACAGTCCTGTGATTCTGTGGTTCCCAAGCTCTAAGCTAGTTCTCAAAGCATCTTTAATTTCATTAATACCCTGTAAAAATTACATAAAGGAAACTGGCAAAACTCACTAATAACTAATCATGCTAATAGTGGATGTTAATTTTGTCAAATATTATATCAGATTATTTATAAAAGTATTCACCAAAGTAACCAAAATAAATTCTAAATAAACTTTCCTGACTTTAAAATAAACAAAATTTTATTTCTAAATAACATGCTAAACACTCATTATTTTCAAGTGTTCTCAATTTACAACATAAGAATTTCACAATGAGGTTTTAAACAAGAAAGAGCTGACAGCATTGATAATTTGGCAGACCTTTCCCAGCAGGAAAAGAACTACTTACTTTATTTAACAATCTCCTGACAATGAATTCATTTCCGTCCATCACAGCACACAATAAAGGTGTCTCACCATCAGTGTTTACAAAGTTAACATTAGCTTCCATCTCCAGCAAACTCTCTACCCCCTACAAAGGTAAGGATAAGGTGAAACAGAGAACAAATAAACCTGTAAAATAACACTTATCAACTAGAAATATGTTCATAAGACATGAATGAACCGCACTGAGTTCATTAGTAATACATGAAAATTTGTATTAGTGTATGAAGTTTGAGGAAAATACATTGACTGGTTTCTTTAGAACTGAAGTTTAATAAAGTCTTTTTTTTTTTAATACTGTACAGCAGGTTAAAATCGCGGTCGGAAAAGATCGCGATTTGTTCAACTTGCAGTAAATCGGGGTCGTTTTATTTCGTGGAAAGAAAAAATTATACAAAAACTTTTCCAGCACTGCAAGTATTTTCCTTGTGTATTGCATCTTCGCAAGCCAAGGGTTTTCGGTCCGCTTCGCTCTGAAGCGAAGCGGACCAAAAACCCTTGGCTTGCGAAGACGTGTGTATTGTGTCGATTCTAAACACCATATTGATCCCGATTAGAAGACAAAATGTATGATTTACAATGTTACTCATTCAGATAAATTTTCTTCTTTCTCTTGTTTTCTTTCTTTCTTTCTTTTTATTATATATTTATGAAATACATTTGACTCGAGTGATTTATTCAAGTGATTTCAAGTCGTATCCAAAACACTCATGTAAAAACAAGAAACCCTTTGTTTGTTCATGAATAGGTATGTTTTGAGTAGATTACTGAGTAGTATTTACTGCAGTATCTTTGAATAACTCTAAATCTAAACCAGTTGTCAGTACCCATAGTCAAAATGTTGACTACTAATAAAATTGAATTAATGTGTAACAGTGTTGTCTTTACTATGTAAGTGCCTTCAACTCGGTTGATTAAAGATAATAAGACTGAGTGATAAGCACTGGTGAAATATGAAACATGTTTCAAAGATAATTACATCACACCTCTACTGGGTGGCAGAATCAAATGTTACTTATAGATGTTTATTTATCAATTAAGCTTTAAAAATACAACAACTACATGTTAGTGATTGATCCATACACCCGCATAATTAGGAAGGCAGTCTACATCTCCATTATATTAAGGACATATGCAACGTAGTTTACCTACTGATAATTTTTCAAGATATTCTTAATTTAAGATTATAGTGCCACCAGATGTTTTCATAGACAAAAAATCAGCATGCTTTACTAGGGGTTTTGAAAAGATATCAGTTGATGAAAATTCTTGTATAATTAATAGAAATATATACAAAAATTAGTAAACATATATTCTAGACGTTTTGTTTATCCAAACTTGTTTTAGAAGAAGTGGACATTAGCATATATAGACATTAAAATGTAGCACACAGTTTCTTGAAGTATTGGAACTTTTCAACTCCAGGGAAAAAGACAATAAAGTTCAAACTACCTTGCGTATGTCCTTAATTACTGCCTTTTATGTCTGCAAGGAAACACAAATAGTTAACGAATTTAATCACAGATATCTGTAATAGAGGGTATTTCAATTTATCCATATCAATTTTTGAAGAATTATTCACTGTATGTTGAATTCCCAGAATTTTTATTTCCACAAATTTAGTGAAAATTAACTCCGCGAGTTAATTTCCTGCTGTACAGTACCAGACGTTCAGATTTACATGCAAGTACCTGTGTTCATGTACATATCTTTATTTTATAACTGTGTATGTTAATTTGTTTTAAAACAAAATTCTTGTACAAAAAAACGAACTATTTGAAGCATGTTCAAATTTTAAATGTGTTTTTTATTTAAACTAAGAATATAATTTAATGCTAATTGTTATATTTCCAAGAACAGTGACTCTATTTCTTGTTTCCCCAAAGATGGAAAATTCAATTCACCAAATTAGGTATACCGCCAGGATTTCTGAATTAAAAAAGGCGGTGGTTTGTTTAGAATTAACTGTATATATACATACAGTATGGCTCCCTCTCCTACACTAATAATACATAAATTTAGTAATAAGTACATACAGCAAGGTTTCCTCTCCTACACTCGGCTAGAAGCATGTTTGCTTTCACATTTTCATCAAGACCAAAGATAACCAGACATTCTCCAGCAAGGTCCAACAAATCTAAAACAGAATCAATTTCAGAATACAGCAATGCTCAGGAAGCTCTGCACTTCTATTTTGTTTTGAAAAACATAGATGACATGCAAGGAAAGCAAGAATTTATTTCCTTATATTTACAAATCCAACTGTTTTCTCTGCGATATCTCTTTGAAAGTTAAGTGTGTTAATTTCTTGATAATTACAACTGAATATAAATTTTGCCAAGTGAAAGGGTAAGTGCGTAAATATGCATGTCAATTGATGAGAATCCAGCCTTTGACCACAACGTAAACAAGAACACAGAAAATGTCCAATAAACACTGCCTTCATCATCTAATGCACGTGGAAATACCTTCGATACTGTAAACAGCCAATAAATTAATTTATCAGCAGTTTCGTCCTACACACAAGCAGTTTTTTCACAAATTCTCACTCCATAATTTTTTTAATTCGAAATACCATAAACATGATAAATTGGATTAAATACTGAATACTAGATTCTAAATATCGAAAAACTGCAATTAAAAGGCACAAACTGCCAGAATAATGATATATATATATATTAATGTTTACTTTAAGCTTCATTTAATATAAATTATGTAAGCATAGCATATATTATAGCTTATTTTTACACAATTTCTGGCTGTCATCGTGTCTGACGACTTTGGGCTGGACCATGCAAATTAACATGGAATCTCAAGTAGTTCAATTCCATTAGTATTATTTATATTTTATATTTTGCCCAATAGGTAAATTATCCCATGTTTCAAACTGACATTCATGACCTGGCATACCCAACAAAGTAGACAGTGATTCTTCAGTCATTATAAGCCATGCATGTTTACATTACCACAAACAATTCATACATATACGAGGTTGTTAGAAAAGTTCACGGACACATTGATTTACGGAAAATCTATTGTGTTACTGTACTGTGAAGTATGACTTATGTCTGATTAAATTCCTATCTTTTGTTTATTAGTATATAGGGATGTCAAATCGGTCAATATTTGATAATCGGTTACTCGGACAATTTTCCGATCGAGTACCCGGGTACTCGGTAAAATTGTAAAATACAAATGTGTTCATTTCATTGAGACCAGTTAAGCCCTGTTTAACGCCATCAATGTTTTTTTTTTTAACGTTTTCTATGCCTGTACACAAACATCGAGCAAAACGAAAACGAAAATGATTTTTTTTCACTAAATTTTTTTATCAAATAAACACAAAAGATATAGGAAAAAGAGACGGTGTCGAGATCACTAGACGTACAGTATATTATTTAATTGATAGTTGTATGTTGATTGTTTTCCCCATATACGCTATGTTTACTTTGCACAGCTAATTCTAAACATTTTTTAAATCTTGAGTTCTTTCCTAATATTTTTTTTCACTTTTGAAGTGGTAGCGGTATTTCTTTGCATGTCCAAATTCGCTACCGTATGTGACTGAACTAAATTATTTTAGGATAATAAACCCTTAAACAATGTTCATTAAATACTAATCATTAAAGCCATCCAAAAAATAACGGATCACAAGAGGTGATAACAGCTGTGTACCAGGTGATAATTACTGTACAAACAAGTACACAGCCACAGACAATAACGGGTATTAACAGGTGTGGGTGACGCTAATTACAAGGAAACATGGACAATTCATTTTGAAATTGCATTTTTATAAGTTTTTGATTTTAAAAAAATATATACTTTGTTCTTTGAAATATGAAAAAAATAATATACATCCGAGTAACCGAGTAGCGATTTTAGTATTCGATACTCGGACGTTCGATCAAGTACCCGGTTAACCAGGTACTCGTTGACATCCCTATTAGTATATAAAAATCAGGTCCATTTGCTAAAATTTTGAAAATTTACAACAATTTTTACTATGCAGTCAAAGGATTCATGGAGCAATCACTTGATGTTAAGTGACGTGACAATCAGATTTCAAACCTGTTAAGCTTTTTCATAGTTCTATAAAATATCTTTCATTTCTTTCAACTTTTCTTGTCTTTTTTCTACTTAAAAGTTAAATATCTATATCTCAACAAGACATATTACTTTTCTTCTATAATGTATTTTGTGCTGTTTCGGATATTAGTGAGATCTTAAAATAATAGTCTACGCAGTTCAGAGATCAGGTATAGAAACAATTCAAAATCCATAGGCGCAACAACGTCCATGCGATAAGTGAGGTAATAAGGTATCGATGGAGTTGATCATTAAAAATGTTAATCCTTCCATTCTCATAAAGCTACTACCATTTAAATACTTTTGTCCTTTGTACATGTAGGCAATTTCTGCAGCATCTAGAAGCATTTTAGTCTTTTTAAGACATTTTCCTGTCTGCGCACATAATTTTTTAGTAGCTCCGTGCTCCATGACGTTCCCATTCTTGGCTTTGTTTTTACGCCCTGATTATTCATAAATGGCTATAAAACAGTCATACACGTTCCAATTTCATTCAAAATTATGGCAAGTGACATTTCATGAATACTGTAGTGACAGGTAAACTATCATAATTCTCTCTGCTACAACTGTGCAATTTTTAATTTCATTAAAAAGTCTATGTAACGTAAACATGCAAAAAGTAGCATGCTCCGTTAAGCATCTTTTATCAAAATAATATAGCTATATATTTTTTAAAGATCACTGGAAAACACCATATCTCTGGATATTTTTTGGAAAATAGGTAAAGTTTTTAGCTGGAGAGTTTAACTGGTTTCATGGAAATAGCGCGCTCACAATAGAACTTGTCCGTGATATTCTCTAACAACCCTCGTACATGTATCTTTCATCAGTATAATTACTGTGCAATATTCCTCTTCCATAAAATATAAATATAATTACTTTTTACTTATTACTTTTGAAATATTATATCATACCTAAGACTGCACATTATATTTACTTCACAAATGCATTGAAGTTTGTATCCCTTTAATTAAACAAGAGGCCCATGGGCCTTGAATCGCTCTTCTGATAAACTGTACAACCTATCACTTCTATTTGAAGCCTCAAAGTATCCTGTATATTTACATAAACCCTTGAAATTCCAATTCACACTCTGAGAACCCAAGATGATTCTAAGCCAATTAGTACCTGAGAGTTGGTCATGGTGACCTACTTATCACTTGTCATTCTCTGAGGACCCATCAACTAAGTTTGATGATTCTAAGCCAATTAATACCTAAAATATTTTTTAAAATTATAATCATAAAATTTTATAAGTAGGTCAAAGTGACCTACTTTTCAATTGTTTTACTCCAAGGACCCAAGATGCATCAACTGACAAAGTTTGATGATTCTAAGCCAATTAGTACCTGTAATATTTAATTAAAGCCATAAATTTTCAAAAGTAGGTCACCGTGACCTACTTTACAGTTGCTGTACTCCGAGGACCAAAGATACATCGACTGACAAAGTTTGATGACTCTAGCCAATAAGTACCCAAAATATTTAATTACAGCCATAAATTTTCAAAAGTAGGTCACAGTGACCTACTTTTCAGTCAACCTACTCCGAGGACCAAAGATGCATCAACTGACAAATTTTGACGATTCTAAGCCAAATAATTCCTGAAAATATTAAATACAGCCATAAATTTTCAAAAGTAGGTCACCGTGACCTACTTTTCAGTTGTTGTACTCCGAGGACCCATGACGCCTAAACTGACAAAGTTTGATGATTCTAAGCCAATTAGTACCCGAAATATTTAATTAAAGCCATAAATTTTCAAAAGTAGGTCACGGTGACCTAATTTTTAGTCGATCTACTCCGAAGACCCAAGATGCATCAACTGACAAAGTTTGATGATTCTAAGCCAATTAGTACCCGAAATATTTAATTAACGCCATAAATTTTCAAAAGTAGGTCACGGTGACCTAATTTTTAGTCGATCTACTCCGAAGACCCAAGATGCATCAACTGACAAAGTTTGATGATTCTAAGCCAATTAGTACCCGAAATATTTAATTAACGCCATAAATTTTCAAAAGTAGGTCACTGTGACCTACTTTTTAGTCGACCTACTCCGAAGACCCAAGATGCATCAACTGACAAAGTTTGATGATTCTAAGCCAATTAGTACCTGAAATATTTAATTATAGTCATATAAATTGAAAAGTAGGTCACGGTGACCTACTTTTCAGTTGACCTTTTTTGAGGACCCAAGATGCATCAACTTACAAAGTTTTATGATCATAGGACTTAAAATGTCCAAATTATGCCTCTAAAATGCTTTGAAATCGAATGCCTGCAAAGTTCAAAAAGTAGGTCACTGTGACCTACTTTTTAATAAATATGTTTTATGGCCCCAAGATGAATCATCTTACAAGATTTAATGATTCTAAGCCTCCCCGTATTCGAATTAATGACCTTAATTGTTTTAAAAAAGATTAGCCATAAAATTCAAAAAGTACGTCAAGGTGACCTACTTTTTAGTTGACGTACTTTGAGGACCCAAGATGCATCAACTGACAAAGTTTGATGATCATAGGCCTTAAATTGTTCAAAATATGCCTCTAAATCATTTTGAAAAAGAATGGCCGCAAAATTTAAAAAGTAGGTCACCGTGACCTACTTTTGAGTCAACATGATATGAGGTCCTTAGATGCACCAACTGACAAGATTTGATGATCCTAGTCCTTATAGTAAGCAAAATATCAACATTTTAATAAAATGTAATTTTTGGTCAACTTTGAAGTGACCTTGAGACCACGCCCTTTGCCCCAGGGTAAATCCCCGTGCAAATTTTAATCTACAACATATCCTCATCCTTTTGTGTAAGTTTGGTGATAATCTGCCCAGTGGTTCTTGAGAAGAAGATTTTTTAGCAACCAGTACTTTTGTTTCTATTTTCCTAATTATCTCCCCTTGTTAAAGGGTCACAACCCCAGTTTTAGTATAAAAGGGAGCCCTTGGGCCAAGGATACCCTGTGACAAATTTGACAATAATTGGCCAAGGGGTTCTTGAGTTATGGCCCATATTCTAAAAAGTTTACGCACACCGCACACCGCACAAATGGCCATAGCATTAGCTCTTTGAGCCTTTGGCTCAGAAGAGATAATAAAATGTTCATAAAATCTGAATACTACATGTATACAATGTACATGTGGATAAAAAAAATGCAAAGCTATTAGCCTATCCACAAGTTTCTAGCAAGGCATAGTAAAATAGCCTATCCTTAGGTTTCTATCAATGCACAGCCAAGTAGCCTGTTCAAAGGTTTCTAGTAACTACTCTTAAACATGCTCACCTTTACCACACGTTCTTTCTATACAGAAATAACAAAGACACATACATGTATACACTGTATTGAAAACACAAACAAGATGTGTTTGTGAAACACTGATGCCCCCGTATGGCAACTTATAGCAAAGGTTAAACTTTCTCAAATGCAAATCAAATATGTTGGTACCCAAAGTAAGGTCTTGTCTCGAGGAATAAACCTGTGAAATATGGAAGCCCTAGCAGCAACCATTGAATAGATATGGAAAAGGTTAAAGTTTTTTCAAAAGTATGTCAAACATCAAGGTCAAATGGTCAAAATATATGGTGTCCAAGGAAAGGCCTTGTCCTCAGAAATACACAGGTGAAATACGAAAGCCGAAGCACCAATCGTTCAAAAGTTATGGCCAAAGTTAAAGTTTTTCAAAAGTAGGTCAAACTCCAAGGTCAAGGTCAAAGGGTCAAAGTTGTTGGTATCCAAAGGAAGGTCTTGTCACAAGGATTACATATGTGAAGTATGAAAGCCCTAGCACCAACCTTTCAAAAGTTATGGCCAAGGTTAAAGTTTTTCAAAAGTAGGTCAAACTCCAAGGTCAAAGGGTCAAAATAAATGGTGTCCAAGGAAAGGCCTTGTCCTAAGAAATACACAGGTGAAATATGAAAGGTTAAAATTATTCAAAAGTAGGGTCAAAGGGTCAAAGTTGTTGGTATGCAAAGGAAGGTCTTGTCACAAGGATTACACATGTGAAGTATGAAAGCCCTAGCACCAATTGTTCAAAAGTTATGGCTAAGGTTAAAGTTTGGTAAAATTTTGCAAAACTGGGTAAAACTCAAAGGTCAAGGTCAAAAGGTCAAATGTGGTGGTACCCAAAGAAAGGTCTTGTCACAAGGAATACACATGTGAAATATGAAAGCCATAGCTCCAACTAATCAAAAGTTATGGGCAAGGTTAAAGTTTTTTTGGACGAACAGGGCAAAAACTATATACCCTCGAATCTTTGATATGGGGGCATAAAAATACTTACAACACATCCATGTGTATGCTATTGATACAAATGTGTCTGTGCTGGGACAACAAAAATCTAATGATATTTCAGATAGATGTGGGAGGGGTTTTTTTTTTGTATATTTTTGTATTTTGTATTTGGTACATTTGAGATAAGAAATTTTAAAATTTCTTTGGCATACATGTATCATCTATCTTTTATAATTAAAAAAAAATTATGAGACTTTGAGGAAATTTTCAATATTACCTTGATCAATGTGTTCTGCAAGGATATCAAACATCAGCTGATGACAGCCTGCTTTCACAAATTCTTCACATAAATCAGGACCAAGTTCTGATATCAAATGTACAGCAACACAAGCCTACAACAAAAAGGGTACTGTAATCTACAAGAGAAAGGGTACATAAACTACATCAGAAAGATTACTGTAAACTACAGTGGCGCCGCGTTTATCCGGACGCCATTTATCCGGACGCTTCACCATCCGGACGATATTTTTTGGGAACCGATTTTTTCCACGTTATTTTGTCTCATTAATCCGGAAATTCGCGTTCCCGTAATATTTCATTGTAAAATGACTCGTTTATCCGGACGGTAATTTTTCAAGAAACGACTTTGTCACACTTATCTTGCATTCGTGTTAATTGTTGTAAAAACATTGGCCATGCAGTCAGTTTGAAGGCGGTTACCTGTGACCTACAAACAATAGCGTCTATAATTAGCGTGTGTTTACAGCCAATTCAATCACACGTTTATCTTTAGTATGAAGCAAAGCATTTAGCTTATACTGTGCATTAATTAAATAATAATCCATTCAAAATCATATTGCTAACTGTATATACATCGGTAAATTCATGAGAATTTTGGAGAGTTGTAAATAAAATGAACAATAAATAACGAGCGATCTCGTAATGCTCTTTACCATGTTGATTGCGTTAGTTTAAAATACGAATCTATTTCTAATAACGTTAATGTATTTGAAATGCTTTTTTCCCACAAGACATTTTACAAAGGTACATAATTGAAGAAATATCTCTATTTAATGTAGTACCATTTACAAACGTCCATTACTTTAGAAAAGATATATAAAACTTACGTTAGGTACAGATGTTGATTACGTTTTTCAAGGTATTTTTAATGATGGGAAGTCAAACTTAGCTTCTCTAGAAAAAATGATAATGATAATCATAAAGATGGCTTGTGTTTGCGAATGTTTTTAATACTTTGTATGAGTTAGCTTGCAGTGTTCAGTTATTTTATAGTAACCCTGTGTAATGAATATATGGGGAATATACGGCGTTAGTTTATATTTGAACATTTTCAATGATGATGCTGAACAGTTCTGTCATATCATATGAGCTTCAATAAATATAAAATATGGCGAAATAAAACAACAGTAGATCAAATTTGTTCAACCCATGAAGTCACATGCCAAAGAGAAGGCGTATTAAAAAAAGGAGGTCTCGGCATAAAATTGCCCATCCATTTTTTATTGCGGAAATTACATTTTAATATATTTTTTCTTTAATCAATTACTGCTATTAAAACAATAAACCAAAATATAATTTAAAAGTTTTTTTTTTCTTTGCTGTCACATTTTAAACAGGAATGTGCATATATACATGCTTAAAGAGTGTTTTTTGAGATGTGATTCAATTATCCGGACGATTCATTTATCCGGACGATTTCGTTGGGGACAGAGACGTCCGGATAAACGAGGCACCACTGTAATACAGAAGGTTATAATCTACAACAGAATGGTAGTACTGTATACTACAACAGAATGCTACTGTTCACTACAACAGAATGCTACTGTTCACTACAACAGAATGCTACTGTTCACTACAACAGAATGCTACTGTACACTACAACAGAATGCTACTGTTCACTACAACAGAATGCTACTGTACACTACAACAGAATGTTACTGTACACTACAACAGAATGCTACTGTTCACTATAACAGAATGCTACTGTACACTACAACAGAATGCTACTGTTCACTACCACAGAATGCTACTGTTCACTACCACAGAATGCTTATGTACACTACAACAGAATGCTACTGTACACTACCACAGAATGCTACTGTACACTACCACAGAATGCTACTGTACACTACAACAGAATGCTACTGTACACTACAACAGAATGCTACTGTACACTACAACAGAATGTTACTGTACACTACAACAGAATGCTACTGATCACTACAACAGAATGCTATTGTACACTACCACAGAATGCTATTGTACACTACAACAGAATGCTCCTGTACACTTCAACAGAAAGGGTTCTCTAACTTTTACATGCAAGCAAGAAATATCTGCAAGATTTGTCAGCAATTCCATCTCAAGTTTGTTAATTATCAAAAACATATTGAAGATTTTAAAAGTTTAAGAAACAGGAATCTTCAATTGTATTTATTTTGAGTCACCAATTACCTTTTGCAAATGCTCACTAGTAATACCCCGCTCTGATGTGAATATACACTCTAAGCAGGAATAAACAAGAAGTTGACCATGGATTCCTACAAAAATGAATCCCACCATATGGCATGCCTAAACAAATAGTGTGCTAAAATTTCAAGCATCTGAGATGAGTAGTTGCTGAGAAAACTGTGACGAAAAATTTGTTATGGATGGACAGACAGACAGACACACACACACACACACACAGAGACACACAAGGGTAAAACAGTATACCCCCCTCTCCTTCGGAGCGGGGGTATAAAAATAAAGAGATACATGTACATGCATATCTGTGGAAAACAATGAGAGAGACAGGCTCCACATACCTCTTTCAGAAGTCCCATTTCAGAATTGTGCTTGTGTATGGTAGAGGTAATGACCTTGACAAGCTGAGAGCAGAGGTCAAGGTTGCTGATGATGGAAGGTTCACTCAACATCTGGATCAGTACCAGCCCCTTTCTCTGTATATCTGTAAACATTGTCTTATCTTTCTAAAGAATCTTGACACAAAACATGTTCTCAGATTTCTCCCATACTTTGTATATGTGCAGACCTACACATCAAATTTAAAAGAACCAGTTACAAGTTCACGGACAAACCTTTTCATTCACTTATTTTAACTATATTATACATGTTTTTCCTGATATTGTGTTATACTAAAGACAAAATACATTAACTTTAATATCATGCACTGATAAATAGCTTCACCAACAGCCTGATTATCATTTCTATCAAACTTACACAAGACATCAGTGAAATGTTCCATGGTCCGTATAACATGGTTGAGAGCCCCAACAGAATTCAAGATTTCTGCTGCTTTGTCTGAAATTGTACATTAATCAAAAAATATTAAAAACACTCCATGTGAGTTAATTTTCAAATTGCATTTAAAATTTTTTCCAAGTTCAAAAACAACTTTACACAGAGATAGTGTGTGTTTTTGTGAGTACTTGAGCTCCCTACCTGCAGCTGATAACACACACAGACATTCTAATCCTGCTTCCTGCATCAGTTCATTCTCAAAAGATTTCTCTAGAGCGGTCAGTATACGAATGTGTACCTTCTCCACCAGGCACTGATTACAGAAGATTTCTATCAAGAAAATTGAACATTAACTTTTTGCTGGCTAACTTTTAATGACAGTGTTTTCATTACTATTATGAAATGAATTTTTGAGAGATACAGTCATACATGTACAAAGTCCAATAAATCTCCTCTGATAAATATTTGCTACTATCAAAATAAGTTGGTTTTTTTTGGGGGGGGAGGGGGGTCAAACAAAAGACAATGTTTGAAAGGATATTTATTTTAAATATATTTTCAGTTATCAATTCTTTCATTTCTGTTATTTTACTAATAAATCTTTTTTTTTTTTTAAAAATGTGTAATTTTTGAATGTGATTTGCTACCCATGAAATTATGTATTAGAATTATTTTAATACAATTGATTAACCTATACAATGTATATACAGAGAACAGAAATTTAATCCTTTAAATTTATTACTTTATATTTAAATCTTTATATTTTTATTCTTTTTACATTGCTCTTCCTATTTACTCAAAGTCAATGACTTTAGAGTTTGCAAAATGCAACAACAAAACACCATACTTAAAACAAAACAATGCAATACTTTTTATTTCAAGTCCTTTAATACTGCATGCAGCATGCCAATTATTATAAAACTTTTGAAAGTTTTGATTTGAATTAGTAAAAATCACCATAATGTTTTAGAATTCCCCAGTTACTTGCACATGCATTTGTTTTTATGGAGTAATCAATGGAACATACATCAAACAAAACCTTACCAAATCGTATCAAGCACTCACAATCAAATCTGAAAATAAGTCTTCCTAAAGTTTTATTTTTTTTTTTATTAATATTCCATTTGGTAATTGCTTAAAATTTACTTTCATGCTTGTCCTTGCTAGGTCAATTAGTTTTTAAGTCAATAATGTATTTCACTTCCTAATAAAATACAGTGGCACTTCATTCTCTGGATGTCTTTGTCTTGTTAAGCAATTGTCTGCATAAAGTTATACAGTAAAAGTTGTCTAATCCAGGTGTTGTGTATTCTGAAATCTTGCCTTCTATGATGAAAACCTCAGTCCCTTCTGTTTAAATTGTTGTCTACTGAAATGTGTCTAATCCGGCAAATTTATATTTTCCCAAAATTAAATGACCATAACATGGATTTTTTAAGGCACCATTGTAAACAGAGCATTTACATCCCATACTTACAAAAAAGAGAGTTAAACAATTGCCTTACCCACTTCAGCTAAGCAGGCTATAGTACTGATGCACTCAATAATCACGTTATCCACATGCCCATGAATGTTAAAGGCTTGTGTGAGTTTTTTCTGTATCCCTTCCACAACCAATTTCATTTTATTGGCATTACTACAACAAAGCAATCCAGCAAGCACACACAGCAAACAAGGATTAACAAACAATTTACTATCCAGGACATCTTTAATCCCGTACTATAGGTAGGGTAAAAAAAACAAAAGACTTGCATATTTCTGTGTATGATTTCATGGCAGTAAATGGTTACTGCATCTAATATATCTTTTCATCTTTCAGCTATCAGGTGAAATGATTTTCAAATATATGGTTTTAAATATATATATATATATATATATATATATGGGTGAATTCAAAAAAAATGACCACCAAACTGAATTTTTTTGGCAAAATTCAACTACTTATAACATACTTTTCACTTATATCATCATATTGCAAATGCATTCTAGTTTAAAATCCTGAAGTGGCAATAGAATAGACAAATGGATTAAAAAGTTTCAGAATTTTTATTAGTAAAATTTCTTTTGAAAAAAGAAAATATCATTACACCTTAAAAGACTTTCTAAAATACATAATCACAAGAAATTATAGTTTTTTATGCTTTAAAATGGTAAAAGGGGTATAAATGATTAAATCTAGACCTTGAATGAGTATCTTCTCTTGCACATGTGACAAAAAAATTGGCTTTTTGATTGTTATTTTACATTATTTTTTCAATTCTGGTTTGAAAAGTTTTAATATGAAAAAAATATGAAGCAATAAAATTCCCCAAAATTCAATTTCTTGTCCGTTCAAGTCAATTCTTTAAATCTAAGCCAAAAAAGAATTGTTATATACGAGTTCTCTTACGAAAAATACTAGATTTTGAAGTGACCCTATGTTACATTATTGTGTTGCACTCCTGACATCTGATATGTATTTTATTTAACATTGTTATAAAAATTATAACACACAATAACCCATTTTTACTTTGTAAATCAATTTGTCGTGTTGATATTTTTCATCGTTTACAGCAGGTTTCTCATATTTTGAAGACCTTAAAACATGATTATTTGCAAAGTGTAATATATATAAATTGTATTTAAAATATATGTGAAATGATGAAAACTATTCCCTGAATTGACTGTAAAATTTCTGTAATTTGTTGATAGACATAGTGTTTTGAACCTCAAATAGTATCAAGCATTTTTTTTCAACTTAATTTTTAGTAAAGATAGTTAAAAAGCATCGGTAATTATGAAGCAGTTTTGTTGCACTCCTGACTGCAGTAAAGTTTAAAATTAAAACCACAGAACACAAAAATTCATAAAGTGTTGGCAACATCAAGTGGTAATGAAATTGTGCAATACTTATAGTCCAATACTTCATAATTAAAACAGATGAAAGTATTTAAAATTCGCATTTTATCTGGAATTATACCCTATTTTATGCCAAAAAACTAGCTTAAATGTATATTTAGAAGATAAAATATATTTTAAAGCATATTTTCCTTTAGAAGACAAACACAGTAACCCACCAGAAAAATTCTACTCATCATTTTTTCTTTCTTTTTATTCTTATTGGATGATTTATAGTTCTAATATATTTGTTGCACTCCTGACCAAAAGCATTGGGGCCTTTAAGGTAGAATTGTGAAGTGAAAATTACATAAGAACTTGTTCTGTTGTTTCAGTGAAGTTGAGGAGGAATTACTCGAATTTTATGACAATGTTTTAGTGTGTTTATTTTTAATGTTCATTAAAAAAATCACAAAAAAGATAAAAACACATCTGAATTGATAAAATTGAAAAAGGAAGTGTTTTAATAATAAAACTGTCAATAATTTAGCATTATATTATACAAAAGGATCATTATAAATTAATGAATACTTCTAAGCATGAATAGAAGTCTTTTCGTCACACAACTTGAATCTTTAAAAAAATGTGTTGCACTCCTGACCATAGAAATATGGATCTGAAGCACAGACAGATCCTGTAATTGATAAATCTATTTGGTAAAAATGTTCTTTGTGTCTCTATTTTCCAAAATAAAAATCAGAAAATCATATAATGATAATAGTTTTTTCATGCTTGGGAGCAAAATATCAAATGTTGCACTCCTGACATTTTGGGGTATGCACATATACTTGACTCTCATTAATGCTGCTTGTGATTTATATAACATTTTTAAGTTTTAAAATGTATATCAGTTATTATTTTACACTTCCAAAATTCTTTTTTGTCTTAATTTTCTATCAGAATTTTACAATTGATGTTTTTTTGGCAACACTACATTTTTTCTGTTGCACTCCTGACATGGTATAACATTTTTTTAAACATCAGCCATGACCACAACCTGATTAAACAAAAGTTACTACAGTCCACATTTAAAGCTCAATGCTTTGAATATTATCAGGAAAGTCTTCATTTTCGACATGAAGCATTATTTTTTATTTCACAGATCTCCAAAAAATATTGAAATTTCAAAATGTCACAAAAAGGTGTTGCACTCCTGACAATTTTAGCATCATTTTTGGGCATAACTTTTTTGTTAATTGAGATATCAACGAGATATTTGGAAGGAATTTAGACACTATCTAAAGACATATGCTGAGACATAGAAATCTATTTTCATTGCCTGTATTTTTAGTGTGGGTTGATAAATATGCATTTGGTCATTTTTTTTTAATTCACCCATATATATATATATATATATATATATATATATATATATATATATATATATATATATATATATATATATATATATTTCAGCCATTCTTTATAACTAATAATCAAAATGCACAAAAAACAAACCAAAAAAAATCCAAAATGGGGAGAAAATAGGCAACATACACTTCACACATGAACTACTAAACCTTGTTGCTCCTATTCCAACTAAGGCTAAATAATAAACATAAAACAAACCTTTCTGCCAGATATCGGACACTTACTGGAAGATGATCATGGCTCTGAGGGCCCTCAAGCCACACTCCACAGCCCGGGGACACATAAAATGGCGCTTGATCCCATCCATTACCACCATATAAGCATTCTTTTCCACAAGATTCTCACAGATCTGCTCTGTAGAAGAATTTATTCTGCCATTTAGAGCATTCTATATGTTTACTCCTTGATCTGATGTTTAAATATTCCTTAATTTCAGGATCTTCAGTTGTTAACTCATAGCACAACATTCAGTTCTATATTTATATAATAGTGTTGTATTTTGCATGCACGATGCCTAAATAGTAGTCAGGGTTTGACACATGGTGCACGAGCCAGAGGCGAGTGCTCTATGTGTCAAACCCTGACTACTATTTAGGCATAGTGCATGCAAAATACAACACTTTATTGATATTATTATGCTGATAGTTGTATAAAAGCGACAATATTTTCTCCATTTCCAATGTTTCATCACCTCTTACATTCATGTTAGTACACTCCTATTATGACGTCACGTTGTGCTACATGTACGTCATAATCTTTTTTCTTTAATTTTGAATGTTCCATGCATTAGGTATAATGTACAGATAGTTTCAGAGAATTTTAGTTGAGTGAAGGGGGAAAAATTGCAAGAAACTTTTTTAGAAAAAATCATTTTGTTTACTTTTCTTCTTTAAGTGTAAAATATTTGAAGCTAACTTTATATATATTATACTACAGTACTTTAGATAACGGTGTCTGTGGCGAAATCAGTAGCGCGTCTGACTGACAATCTTGGGGTCGTGAGTTCAGTCCCCGGCGTGGGCGCTGTCAGATTTTCTTCAGAAAAAGAAGCCATGCACTATTTCAGCATAGTATGCTTATGCTATATAAATCCTTAGAACACTATGCGAAAATAGTTGGGTATTGCATATATAGAGACAAACTGACAGGAAGCATAATAATATTTAATTTCTAATTGATGAAAAAATATTTGAATTTTCTTGATTGAACGAGTCCTATCATTGAGTTTACCATGGTCAGCTGCCAACCAATACATAGCCTCGCAGGCACTGGAAAACACCTCCTTATCTCTCTTGTATGTCAGAATATCACCCACACACATCGTGTGAAGTGGAGACCTGAAGAATCATAAAACAGAAGTTAAACACACACACACACAAACATCTGAATATCACCCACACACATCGTGTGAAGTGGAAACCTGGAGAAATATAAAACTGAGTAATTTACAGACTCACACACACACATACACACAAATAACCATCAAAATGTCACCCACATATCTTACGAAATGGAGACCTAGAGAAACATTCAATGGAATAGCTTACACACTTCCATTTTCTTTACTCCTTTGAAAATTAACCACAATCATATCAATTAGATTACTCTATATGATTAGCAGAAGTTATCTCAAAGCTTCCAAAGATATTTTTTTTTTGGTTTGTTTGTTGTTTAACGTCCCTCTCGAGAATTTTTCACTTGTTACATACACAAACACAAATATTCTATTTAGTTGATGTACTTTTAACACTGTTCTCTGACACAGATACTGCAATGTCTTAAAAGGGGTTATTCTAAAGATAGGAAATCTAGAGGACTCTGTAAATGTGCTCTATTCTAATTTACAGTCTCCCTGATTACCGTCTCACACGACTTACTGAGGTATGTTGTTGACGATGTTTTCTCCAATCTCACTGTGTGCCCTAGGACAAACCTTTAACAACTCAACAATGGCTTTACAACTCCAGATCTGTGGAATAAAACCAGTCTTCATATTACCTTTTACTTTAATAACAAATTTCTAGTTAGGATTTTTAGTTTATTATACTTTCATGTTAAATACTAAAATCTGATTGGTTAAGATGCATCTAGCAATTTGTAATGTTATCCTCAGCATTAGCAACACACTTGACAATGGGAACACAACGATAATGTCAGATGTGTATATGCATTGGTTGACAACGTTTTTCCTTGGATGTCAATTTCAACTGTTACCTTCAAAAACATGCACTATTAAATATAATAGAGCCTTACTATAAATAATTATACTCAAAAAAGCAGAGAATGTGGGATAAGAGCTTAAATATGTCATAATTTCTCAAATCTAAAGTAATATTACTTGTCTTTCAGATAAATCCCTTGCAAGAATAAAATAATATTTTGGGGAGCTGGGATACAAATAAAATAACCACTCTCTTCAGCCAGAAGATGTGTGGATTGCAAAGAAAAAGTGTGTGTCAAACTTTTTTGTAGCTGTTTCAATACATAAAATCTTTCACAGAATTTATTTGCTGTTTCTTAATGCAGAGAAAAGGCAGTATGATTCAAAGCAATATGTACAAATTTTAATGTCTGAAATGAATAACGGTTTACATCTCTTACCTGTACATTTCTGACATCCATCAGTCGGAGCATGGCATTTAAGATGAGTTCACACCACTGCTTACTCAGTTGATTTTCCTCATCATCTGTTACATCAGCAAACACACTCTCACCTACATATAAATCAACAGACACAACTTAACAATACAAATTAATCAGTATCAGAAACTACATTACATCAGCATACACCCTCTCACCTACACATAAATCAACAGATGCAACTTACAACATGGCCGTAAGAATGGGGGGGGGGTGCTTGTCAAGGAATTTTTGTATTTTTGGTAGCCCCTCCCCCCCCCCCCCCCCCCACCCCATGAGAAAATGTTTGGTTGTGCCCCCAAAACTGAAAATGCTTTCTACAGGCCTGTACAATACAAATTAATTAGCATCAAAAACTACACTCATATGACATGTATTATGGCTTATATACATGTATATCAGGTATCATAAAGTAATTAAAAGGTCTGAATTTGAAAATAATAAACATTTATCTGCCCTGCTGATATGAAATCACTTACAAAATAAACAGAACAGTTGTAGCCCTGCTGCCATAATAGACCCACTACAAGGGTGGCTGGTCATCAGTGGTACTAGTGTACTGGACAGGAAGTCAGTGGAACACAGAGTGGTGCAAACAGTTTCTAAAAACAGGGAACAAGATGTTAAAAGTAGCAATTATATGGATGACTTTAACAGTCTATCATATTCATATTAACTTCTTTCATATCGAGAAATCATGCATTGAACATTAATTGAACTTTTAAAAAATCCTTTTACAGATTTCAGAATAAGATACAGCCTTCAGCATCCAAAACAGATCTTCACTACCTTATTGGACTGCAAAGTTTAGCAAAATTGACTTACCATCTCTCTTGAGTTGCATGAGAAGATCACACGCCGCCTCAATGAGCGTTTGATCTGCTGAGACACTACAGAATGAGTCCAGGACATAGTTGTCTACTTGGTGGGACAATAGAAAGGGGAGGTAACAACCGTCTGTAAATATTACATAGTAAGGGGAGGTAACAACCATCTGTAAATATTACATTGTAAGGGGAGGTAACAACCCATCTGTAAATATTACATAGAAAGGGGAGGTAACTACCATCTGTAAATATTACAGTCTCTCTATATATATCAAATAAAAATAACAATTAGCTGTAAAATCTCTAAAAAGTAGAAAACATTACATATTATTTCTGCATTTCATCAGAAACCTATGACTCTCAGGCTCTGCAGACAAAAAATGAGACTGACAATCATGTAATACAGTCTTTGCCAAATCTTTTTTCAGCAAATTCCCTTCAGCCATAGGGCTGGGACAATACAACTTTTTCTATATCGATACATATCACGATATTTGAGCCACGATATGTATCACAATATGTTGAATTGGTTTTAACATCTTTTTTTTCGTATGTGAAAATGAACAAAACATTTCTTCACAAATAAGAATAATTTATTCAAAGAAGTTGTATATCTGTTCTAAAACAAAATTATTTTACACAAGTGGTGTTAATTATTATGTACTTCATATTTAAATGTATATTGATATTTAGCATATTTATTTTATACATTTAACCCAAAATGTTGAGGAAACAAAGAAACTTTCTGGGCGATATTTTGATATTTCTTCATATGTATCGATATGTGTGTATCTTCCTCACACAGAATCGATATTATCGATATCTCAATATATCGTCCCAGCCCTATTCAGCCAGGTGTATCCACTAATTACACTAGCCTTATAAACAAATATTTACAAATTTACACCACCTGAATTTTATTTTTATTTATTCTTATTTGCCATTTCATGCCAAGGAATACCATTTTTCCAAGAGTATCTAGTGTCATGCCATTGTTTTCAACCTGTACACTTCTTGTAACTCCAATGCAAAAAAGTTCCTTGGAAATGCAGTAGAATAACATGTTGTCAAAATTTTATGCTTCACTTTGGATGAATAAATCAAATAAACACTTTTAAGTATAATTAATGTTATTGATGTTATTTAATTTGATCCAATTTGATCCGTTATGTTATTCACAAATAAAAATGATCCTAAACAACATGGAGGTTTAGTTAAGCCTCCCAATTTACATGCCCTTCGGACTTGTGAGTGTGCAATTTTCAAATGCCCCCTTCAAATTTTACCATGGGATTTGTAGAAGACAGTTGACACATGATTAAACAACTGTTACATAAAACTATATTGTTCAAATGCCTCACCGTCTGCCTGGGCCACTGTTTCAAGGACTTTAAACATGGCTGCAAGCACAGAAGCTTCTGATAAGAATTCTTTCATGTCTTTCAGAAATGTTTCTAGTTTTTCATCAACAAAGGCTTCTAAAAGTTCAGCATCTAAATAAAAATAACACCACATGGAGATTTACAGGCTTTTTACACACCATTTCTTAGTTCTAGGAAATAAAAATCAAAATTCTAGTAAGATCCACACAATTTACATATACTTGTGTAAACACCAATCTGGTATCAAGTATGTTTTTAAATAAACATCTTTTTTTTTATTTGCACTGCATAAAATGTGTAAATAATTTACCTTCCTCAAGAATGTGATGCAATATGACAGAACTGGACCTCTGAATATTTGCATTGGATTGATACATCTTCATAGCTATCAATGATTGGTCAGCCACAGCTCCGAACATGTCATCAACTAATAAACTGTTCCTCAAGTTCTCTGTAGAAAAATGTCTACTGTCAACTAAGATAGTTTAAAAATAATACAATGTATGTAAGCAAATATAGAGACCCTATTGTGTTAGCATGAAAGAATTAAATGTTAAAATCCTAGTTGTCATTTCTAATTGAACAAGAATATGCCTCAGTAAGGTACAGTGTACTACAATATATTATCTACTTCTTGGAGACAGAATCCCCATCAGCTATTATATAGTAGTACAGACTGTACATTAAAAAGACAGGTCCGAAAGAAATGAAACCCCCAAATGAAATGCAAAATCTAGCTGGCAGAGGATAAATACACTGAAAACCTGATTAAATCTTCTCTAGTAATTCATACATCTTAGTACTAAATAGATATGGCTATTCAATATATAACCAATAACTAGATATTGCTATTCAATATATAACCAATAACTAGATATGGCTATTCAATACATAACCAATCAACGTTATTTATAAGTACAGTCAAACCTCGTGATCTAGAACTGGATGGGACTGAGAAAACACTTCGAGATATCTGAGCATTTGAGATAATGAGGGTAAAATACCTAAAGAATAAGCGAAGCCCCTGGAAGCTTCTGGATTTTAGAGATTTTGTAGGGAAAGAGTAGACATTTTTACATTTTCTTGGCGAAACTATGATTTACGCTAACTTTGACAGTTTTGGGGGGGGGGGGGTGCTCGCTGGGTGCACCCCCTTTAAATCCGCCACTGATTATACACAACCTGTGATGAAGCTCGATTCCGATCTTTTATTAATTGTGTGCATTTGACATGGTGTGACAACCATAGCAGATTGATACAATATTTCTATTAGAACAATCTCAAACATCGCTTGTATTATCAGATTTAACGGAGATTTAACCACTTCGATAAATCGCCATGTTTGATCTCAATCACGTACATGTTTGAATAATATGCTTGTATGCAACACAAATAATCTAGGTTAATAGAGCGTTTTCTTAAAAACTGAAAGTACATGTACATAAAATAAGAAACTGAAATGCGATTATGTTACAGAAAAAAATCTTTCTTCATGTGGGCGACTAGATTTTTAACATCTAATCGCCCACAGCAAATTTTACTCTCATTTGCTAGTGGGCGACTGGTTATCCACAACCCTGTTTTACTCTCAATATCATGAATATCTAAAAATCTCTGGTATCTCAAAGTTTTTTCTTGGTCCCATACAGAGATTTAAGAGAAAATCTTACACCTAGAATAAAATTACATCTAGTTTACTATTTTTCTTAAAACTAAGGTACATTGAAGAGTGGTAAACTATTATTGAGCTTTTACTACATGAGATTATGTGTGCATTATTTGTAAACAAGTAAAATGTTTAACACTCTGAAATTCTGAATCTAAATCTTTCTTTCTAACTGACCTGACTCTAACAGATGGCTGAACATTTTTATTCCTCTCTCCTGAATTTCCTCATCCTTACAAAAGTCTTTTAAGGCTTTCAGCAATACTCTATAAAATTACAAATTTATTTCAGTTTATTTCTTAATAACAGATAATTTATCACAATTCTTTGTGCAAAAATTCTGCATCCAAATTAATCATTAATTTACTTAGCACACCTTGCAAGGTTCCAGTAAAAGAAAAAAATTAATGAACTTTGATATTTTAATTTCTTCAGAGATTGTGTAAAGCAACTCAACACAAATATATTTTTATCAGTAAAACTGACAAAAAATGTAAAGTGCAAATGAAGGTGTTTCACAAAATTATAGAAGAACAGTTTCAAAATCTGCTAATTATATAATAGTGTTTTGCTTTGCATCCATTATGCCTGAATAGTAGTCAGGGTTTAACACACGGTGCACGAGCCGGAGGCAAGTGCACTATGTGTCAAACCCTGACTACTATTTAGGCATAGTGCATGCAAAGTACAACACTAGTGTTATTATTATGCTGACTGTTGTATAAAAACGACAATATTTTCTCCATTTCCTCTTATGTTCACTACTCCCTATTATGATGTCACTTTGTGCTATATGTACATGTACGTCATAATCTTTTTTTCTTAATTTTGAGTGTTCTTGCAATAAGGTATAATGTACAGAGAGTTTCATGCAATTTTAGTTGAGTGAAGGTAAAAAATCTTGTAAGAAACTATATAAGAAAAATTATTTTGTTTATTTTTTTCTTTAAGTATCAAATATTTAAAACTAAGTTTATTTAAGAAATAAACAACAATGTTAAAAAGTTCTCTGGGAAATGAACTTGGTTGGTCACGTGATCAAATCCTGTGAAGCCCGAAGGGCTTCTCAGAAGATTTGATCACGTACCAACCAAGTTCATTTCCCAGTGAACTTTTTAACATTGTTGTTTATTACTTTTATTTACATTTGAGACGAATATTCTGAATAGAACTGCATTTATTACACGAACGGCCCGCCGTATTGCTATGTTGTGACGCGCAATGACCTAGAAGTTGTTTGGTCTTGAGAGTTCGCCTCGCTCCAACATTTGAATACTTACATTGATGTTTAGCAGTCCAGTTCAGGAAATATCTGTTCATAATGAAAAAACAATGATCGCTACTGGGAATTATCTTACTATTATTGTACGAGTTCTTTATATATAAAGTCAAAAGCGGTGCTATCGTCTTCAGTTTACATACCTTCAAAGGAATTTCGGGTTAAAAAGGTAAGCGTGATTTTAGGCTAATTAGAAACATTCTTCACACTGAAGAAAGATCTAACGATCATTTGTTGAACGAAAAAAAAAATATATGTTTCAATAATTTTATCTTTTTCATCGCTTTGACGGTTCAGAAGTTCCGAAACCAGTGTCACTGTGACAGAAATATGTAGACAAGATATCGTTTCGCTGTGTGATTCGGTCACGCCATGACCTCTGACCCCCTAATAAGTTCATACAGAATTGAACATATTTTCTCTTCTATAGGTTCATCTAAGAAAAATATTTGCAAATGTAAATAAATATAATTAAAATACACAGTACAGATAACGGTGTCCATGGCTAAATCAGTAGCACGTCGGACTGACAATCTCAGGGTCGTGAGTTCGGTCCCCTGTGTGGGCGCTGTCGGATTTACTTCAGGAGCCGTGCACTATTTCGGCATAATATGCTTACGCTATATAAATCCTTAGAACGTTCACTATGCGAAAATAGTTGGGTATTGATTATATAGAGACAAACTGACAGGAAGCATAATAATAAGTACTATATCTATAACTTTCTATTTTTTCAGGTAGAAAACAAAAAAAGTGTACCTGTATGCAGTGTCTGAATACTGAGTCTCCTCCAACACATCAGGACACAGTCCTACGTAGGCATCAACCAGCTCTAAACCAATCTGAAAACAAAGTAAATTGACAGTGGTCATACAGCAAGTAGAAAAGATCTTATAAAAAAAATTCAGAGGCAGTGTGAAATCTTATCATCTTTAGTTAATGGTTCGTGTGGTCCAATCTTTTTATTTCCTACAGATAGCTATTCACACAGCCTCAATGAATGTTTTCAAATGCACTCATGCTTAACGGTCAACAGGTCAAATACAGACCATGCACAGTGAAAAAACGATTGATTTGACTAAGACAAGAACAAGTAGATTACATCTGATCAGTTAGAAACTAAATTGGTCAAGGTAAGTGAAAAAAAAGGGGGGGGGGGGGGGTAGTGGTCAGTATTATAAAACTAAAAGACAAAAGACCCTGCCATATTGGTTTAAATTTCTTGATAATTAAAAGTTAATGACGGAATTGTGTACAGACAAAATATTTAAAAATTTACTCAAGAAAACTGCTTAAAGTATTATTTTTGCAACTATAAAAATTATGAAAACAGCCTACCTTTTGAATTCCAGCACTGGAGGAAAAGTTGTTCATTATCCCAACAATGTGCCTGACCACATCTCTGCTTAGTAACCCCTTCACAACACCATCTATAATAAAAATAAGAACAACATCAAAACAGAGGAATTTCTTTACATTAAGTTAGAAACATTAAAATGAGCAATACACTTTCTGCAACACACATATATGAGTAAAACAATATAATCCAGGGCTGTTAACAACACACAACTATAAATAATATTTAATTATTAAGTGACCCAAAGAATAACTGACCATTGCCGAGATTCTCCTTGATTTTATACAGTGTCATCAGTAGTAGTTCCTCACTCTGTGACCGATGTAGGGTCATCATGATAGACTGGACTTCTTCGTCCTCCATGCTGTCCATCAGGTCATTGTCCGCATCCAAGGCCGAGGGCAAGTCTGCCCTCAGAATCACGTTGGCCATGGCACAAGATTTAATTAAGTTACCTACATGTTCGAGCCAAATCAATGAGTGCGCAAAGAACAAAGAAATGAATATGAGAAAATGATGCATATACGGGAAAAGATATTTTGAAAACTCCAATAATATAGGCCTAGTTATTGTTTTCGTTGGTCAGGGCGGTAAAATGTCAACATCATTTTTTGTCGGAATATCATATTACAAATAAGACATGCAGTTAGCTCGTTCTTTGACTTAGGGTAAATTACAAGAATTCAAGGAGATTGATTGTGTAAAAATGTGTTTTTACCATATCAGATTTATAATATTATTTGACAACAGCAGCCGACTTTCCCGCTACGATAAACTCAGCAGTGTTTACTTCCGGTCATCAGAGAATCATATGATGTGACAGCGCCGTCTATGAAGAAAGAAAACGCGGGAAATTTAAAAAAAAAATCCCAAAATTGGTTATTGTGTATAAATATATAGGAAAAAATGTCATGATATTAAAATTTGCAAATCAAAATACGTAAAAATAAAGACTTATAAAATGAAAAATACGTAAAGCACTCTTAAAATTGGAAAAGTAGCAATAGTACGTGGGTTTTACTTTTCAAGCAATTATAATATAATGGGAAATTTTATTTCCTTTAATGCACGAATAAAATGATACTCATCATTCTTTAAACTTTTATGTACAGCAGTTTGACATAGTTTTACATGATGAAATTGGAAGATGCTGAAAATAATTTAAATTGCTGTATTTTTTTTCTCTTGTCTTCGTCGTTTGCACTGACAGGAATGTAATTCTGACTCAGAAATCATACATTTTTTATCCAGTTTTTCCAACTCCAGCCCAAACCATCAGCGTTACAGAAATAACTTCAGAAAATATTTGCATGGAAAAAAATGCATGATTTCTGAGTCAGAATGACTTTCCTGTGCAAAGTTTTTGCCTTGAGAAATTTAAGGCATACATACTTACAAAATCTGAGTTTGATAAAAACGGAGAAACAAATTAGAGTTCTAAGTGTTGTGTGTTACTATTTGATTCTATCATAAATAAACTGAACATTTACTTCTAGTGATTATAAATGATTTAATATAAAGCAAGGTGGTAATTTCTAGGATGGACTGTAATTACGAAGGCTAATTGTAAGGTTAAATTTTACTTTTAAAATCACTGAAATTCAGGAGTTTGCTATAAACTACACTTATCTTTACTTTCCTTATGGAAATAGCCAATAAAAACAAACAAACAAACAAAAACAAATGTTAAAAAAGAAAAAAAGAAGGAACAATTAATGAAGCATTTTATTTTTGTGATGTGCCACCCTTACAATGTTCCTTAGAGAATTAGAACGTCCTATAAATGAAGTTTTGCCCAAATTCAAACACAATTTTTTTTTTTAAACAATCATTATGAGACAATAATCCTGTTTATCGTAGATATATACATATTTCTTTAAATCAACAAAACTACAAAAACAGTGAAGCAGATCAAGTTAATGTCTCACGTCCGTTACACTTAAATATTTTATGTTATAAGTTACAAGTCTTACGTTGAACACGATTCTCTATGTAGGCCTATAGATATCGCCAAAACAGGCGGATTGGGGGGGGGGGGAGGAGGAGGAGGCGTCAGTTTTAAATTCATTAATAAAAAAATATTTCAAATTTAGAAAACAATTGGATACTTGATTCTTTATTGGTATAAAATATTTTGAAAAACTCTTCCGAATCCCTGCATATTTTCTCTTCCTCTATTATAAGTACACACTTATAGTTGAGCTACAGTCTCATCAGAGACTTCTCTTCCCAGAGAGAACATGAAAAGTTTAAATTGAGCCTTCAAATCTGCCTCTTTTCTGATGAGAAAAAAAAACCCATAAAATTAGAACCCCTTCCTGAGCCCCCAGTTTAAAAAATGAAATCGGTAAGAAGTATATGCTAATTATGCTTAGATGTAGTCTAGACTATAGACAAATATGATCCTGATATTTTTAAGAGGCAGTCCACCGTAAAACCAGGCAGTATTGTATTAATAGGCGGCACATCGAATGTGAGGAATATTTGATATTTTATTAAAACCAATATCAATGTAGCCCAAAAGGAATAATGTAATTGAAGATTTGTTTGATAATTGCTTATTTAGTAAAATATCTTTGTGTTTTGTGTTTTTGAATGCCCCTATATAAACCATTGAATGTAGGTCAGAAACAAAGAACTGTAATTTCTAATACATTTTTAACAGGACTATAATTCACACTTAACTAAATCTAGAAATATTTCAACTTTTTGTTTAAAAAATAAAATAGGTGGGAAAAACACTTTTGATAGTAGTTTTCTGGCAAAATATAAGGACGTTTTTATGAAATTTTGTGATGCAAGAGTTATCTCCCGTGGCATCGGTAAATCTGCTCAACACCTTTTTATCGGAATCCTAGTGAAATATTTAGAATCGATACACCAAAGAAAATAATTAAACAAAAAACTAAATAATTTATTTTCAAAATATAATTCATTTTCGCCTCCAGACGTAATATTTAGATTAAAATTGGCTCTATTATTCAGGTTGAATCCACGTTTCCATTGATGTATCAGTGACGTCATATACCTGACTAATATTGCGTCACAATGAAATAGTTACAAGTTTCCAGAGAAGTTTGTAAATTTTATGCGTAAAAGTGTAAAGAAAAAGACTTTTAAAAAAAATTATTTCTCTTTTTCTGTTTAATTACTCTTCAGAGTGCATTATTCTAAATGTTAAATAATATTTTAATATCAAAATGTATTTTATACACGGGCGGCGTCTCAGCTAGATGACGTTTTGATAAGTAATTTTATACATGTCTGAGAACTAATTATTTTCAACTGATTTACTAGGATATGCGTAAAAATAATTAATGAAGTGTTTATCATGAACATTTCTTATAGAATTGGGAATCAATGATGAATGTTTTAGATTTACGCAACACTTAATTCAACGAAGTTGAGATGTTTACTTCATGATATTTGTAAAAACTTAAATATATTTATCTATGCAGTCAAATCAAAATAAACAATCCGAAGTACGATTAAAAATGAAAAAAAACCCTGAAAAATAAGTTATAAAAATATATTTATTGAGTTAAACTACTGCTGAACTCCCCACTATAATTTGGCTCTAAAACGGAAGATGGTTTAGTGAAACATTTCTTTTTTTTTCTTTTACTTATTTATTTTTTTAATTTGGCGATTGAAACAATCACACACTCACATTTAAAATGGAGTTTAAACATGTGACTATGTAGGCCAATTCTAAAATGTTTTCACGTTCATGAAACCAATTTTTATAAATAATGATGTCATGACACCCCCCCCCCCCCCCCACCGCTTTTTGCTTGCGATTTATCGGCTCTTGAATAATGATACTATATATGAAAGAACTTATTTTCTTATTTATATAAAATAAAATTTTGTAAAAGAGGAAAAGGCTTTGCAGATGACAGGTAAGAAAAAACTTGGATAAAGTCGAGACTGTACACATAAAAATATTTCCTGTATTTAGGCAAGTTTAATTTCGCCACTGATAGAGTTTACTCTTTAATTCCTGAGGAAATAAAAAAAAAAAGAAATTTTACTTGGAAATAAGATAAATAATAAAGCTAGAAAGCTGTCTGCTCTCATTTGTTGCATAATGCATGTACAAATACTTTTTTTTTAAATACCGAGTATCTATTAAGAATTCAATCAGATGTTTTACATGTAATCTTCATGCACGTAAAAGACATTAGTAATTTAAATAATATATAAATTTGAATCTATGGTTACACTCATTTAAAAACAGTCAACTGACTGAAAAGAAATAAAAGACAAGCATATTTTTCTGATAAATTAAAATGAAGAGCCAAATTTAGGAAATGTTTCTAAATTTACAGTAAAACCCGATCCCGATCCGATGGAAAATAATGAAAAATTAACAAAGTTATCAAACTAAAGGCACCTGCCACCTATATAACATGTTAAAAAAATAAATCAAGTAAGTTTTTACTCATATTACAACAAAAGAGCCAAATTTAACATTACAATTATAGTATTTTTTTCTTTATATAATTCCGGTCGGGATCGGTTTCATTTGGGAAAATTATAAAAAAAAAAAATAGGTAAATTTGACTCCTTTTATTTCTTTCAATATACCTGTTCCCACTGATTTTATTGAGTGATTCAAAAGTTTGTACTTTGTATTCATAATAACATAAGAAAAAAAATCTGTCCTTGTAATGTATTGGGTTTTATAACGTAATGAAAATTGGATACTGAATTCAAAAAGTTACTTGCTTAACTCAAATTTGGACCATATAATTTTTTCTAAAGAAGTATAAATTGGAGCCTTATTCATTAATAAAATAAAAGATAAGAGTCTATGCTATAAATAATATTCATCCACACATCCACCTTTTGAGTATCTGTTACATATAAAACAAAATAAAAACGTAGTAATTTTTTTTACCCTTATGTTGACCTTTTTGCACTTAAAATTAAGCATTTACCAAAAATAGGGCTAGAGGAGCACTAAAATTTTTTTAATGTTGTCATGTGTAAACACTTGCTTTAATAAGTCTACATGCAAAAAATAATTAAAATCCATGACATGCGATGTGCCACCCATTGCCTGGTTTTTTGGTGGACTGCCTCTTAATAAGTATAGGATCCAGCACTGCAACTGATATTTTATAAATAAAATTAGTCTTTAATTTTCATCTACATGTACAGGTAAAGCTACAATCATAACTAAACGCGTGTGTAGTTGATCGGGTACTTACTTTAAAATTAGAATAATATGACCTAAATTGTCGTAAAATTTTTCAAATTTTTGTTAAAGTTAATACAACTGTCAACAATAAACGTAAAACGACACTACTCTAGGTACAGTTGATCGACATTGAAACTTTATCCCGTCACGACGTCGATTTTGAAATGCCACGTCGCGTGTTAACATTAGGGCCATGTATCCGAAAATGTAACCAGGATCGGCAAGATGTCAGATCTGTAAGTATAGCATAATTTACATTTTTGTAACACCACATTGATGATCTCTAAAATAAGAGGATATAAGTCCTGGACTAATCCACCATGCATGGATGTTATCATTCAGGAAGAATAGTTCGCTTCTGATGTTGCATTATATAACTATTACATTTGAATTATGTATAAAGCCTACATCAAATTTGGATAGCTATTGCATCTTGGGCTACAAATTAGTAAAGTACTTATTACTCGAGCAATACACATGTAGCAGATCAAGGTCTCATATAATCTGAATTAGAATCTTTTTTGACATTGGAATATTTCATTTACATCTGATACATGAATAATATGAAAATTGTTTTTTCATTACTAAGAATAATAGCAGCTAATCTCTTTATATTCCAGGGCTGGGATTCATAAACATACTTAAGATTTGTGCTAAGTTTCACACTTATGTATACAATAAATTCTTAGCCAAGAAAAAATTCTTAAGTCATATTCATATAAATTCTAAGTGCAATTCTTAGGTAAGTTTAATTCTGAGAAAATTAGAGCACTTAAGGTATGTCACTCGTCAGGCTTTTAGAAAATTTCAGTCATAACCTCTTACTTAAAAACTATTTATTACAATTCAATCTTTATAACATATTTAAATTAAACAATGTAAAATGTCCAACATTCAATTAAAAAACTGCTCAAAAATTCACAAAGAAGCAAGACTTATAAGGGACTATATCTTGTGGCGGAAGCATATTTAGCAGAAAATTCTGCAAATCTACACATTTATTAAATTTTCATGGAACTTTAGCCTCATATACTTTTACTCAGAGAATATTTTCCGTTATGATATGCCTGGAATATTAAATATAGGTCTCAATTTATATTTTTATAACAAAATGCACACCTTCGTTCAACAAACATTGCCAAGAAATGAAGATATATTAAGGAAGTCGAGAAAAAATGTACACAGTTTTTTGCCTGAAAATCGCATATTTTGACCAATATTTCAAAATTTACATCACTGACCCCAACTTTTTCTTTCATTATTTTAAACTACTCGATACTTTTGACCGATCAGCACTAAAGTCGTAAAAAGTTTGATACAAGAAAATATTCTATTACCTATTTAGATTTTTAATACCCCAAATATGAGACTTTTTAGTGCAAAAAGGTCACACAATAATTTACGCGTATTAATTCGCATAATTTGTTCAATGATAAACATTATTCAAACTATTTTACGTAAAATAAGATTATGTTTATTGCCATGGTTTCATCTTATGAAATATGATAACGGTTAAAGTGATTAACCAAAGAGTTACAATTTAAGTGCAAAAAGGTCAACTTAGTTGTACCGTAGCTCAATTAGATGCACACTGACCCCCCCCCCCCCCATTTTCTCTGCGATTTTGAGTCATACTATATGAGTACTTATCCAAAATATACTTCTCAAAAAATCCTTGATATAACAAATTTCACGAGTGACATACCTTAAGTTAGGTCACCCTAGCAACGCATACAATTTCCCGAACAAAAAGCGCACTCTTTTGTGATGGAGGTATTTAGTTCCATGTGTATTACATCACAACTGATACAGCTTTGTCATCAACATTGCACAATACTGCATCTTACCAGTTGATAAACATCTCAAAGTCAAAACAAGTTTCTAGTTGGATATAATAGCATGGTTTCTTACTGAAAGATTAAAATGTCTTCTGTAAAACATTATTTTTAATTTGATAAAAAAAACTTAAGTATTTCTTATCTACTTAAGACACCTCTTGAGGACACTTAAGTCAATACTTTTAAAAGCACTAAATATGTTTATGAATTACACTTTAGTATTTCTACCAAATTTAAGTAATACTTAGGGGACTTAAGTATAAAATATAAAACTTAAGTGATTTTTTAAACTTAAGATTATACTAAGAAGTTTTATGAATCCCAGCCCTGGCTTCGGGGCCACCAACGCTGAGATTTTCTCAAATCTGAGATTTCTCAGAAAATTTGAGTTTTTCTCGCCAAACTGTGCCACCAATGAAATATTTTCTCAAACTCAGACTTATCTTTTGAGTTTTTTCTTAAATCTGAGATTTTTCTCAAATCTGAGATTTCTCTGAAACGTGCGTGCCACCAACATTTTTTCTGACTCAGCTGAGAAAAAAATCTGAGATTTCTCAGAAAATCTTGAGATTGGTACATAGTAGTCTCAAATAAAATCTCACAGAATTATTTTATAGTAAAATGGTTGCAAATATTATGACAGTGCACACGTTAATCCATGAATACATGAAATAAACGTGCAAACACAGAGAGCATGTTTATATCTCCCAAAACAAGATCATACGTTTTTAAGAAAGGGGGGTGGGTCTTACGCACATGTAAAAAATCTCATAATATTGTCCACGCAATGAAACAATGTACTTGAAACTATATCAAAAGAAAAAAAATAAGGAATAAAATCAATATTCTTGTGACACGTTTTACATAACATGTATATCTTCATTCATGCAAGAATTATTTTCATTTATTAATTAAATTCATATTTTAGTGTGCTACTTATGGTTAGGCAAATTTATTAATTCACATTATATATACATGTATATCAGAAAAGAAAATATGATTAGATAATATTAATCTCCACGGCCTCTTCTTTGTTCTTTCTCCGGTAGTTATTTTTTACTTGTACAATATACGTATACCTAATCTGTAAATTATACGCAAATATTAAAAAAAAACATTGTCTAAATTTCTGTGTAAAAATATTTTATGCTTTCAAAATAATTCATAAATCACCATTTATTAATCACTGATGATACCAATCTGTCTAATTTGGATTTTCACTAAATCTATAAAATTCTTAATTGAGAGTAGGGATCCAGTAATTCTTTCCGGGGGGGGGGGGGGGGGGGGCTGTCATCTAAGTAAAAAAAAAAAACCAACCCAGAAATTTCTTGACATGTAAAACTGATTTCCCAAAAGTATCAAACCGCGAAAATTTCTTGAAAAGAAAAAAAAATCCGTTTCACAAACTTGAAAAACCTATTTCGTTAGTGGTGGGGTCGTTATGGTAGTGGTGGGGTCCACGTTTTCAATGGGGGGGGGGGGGGAGGGGGTGTGTCCAAAATCAATTTTTATTTGATTCAGTATATACTTTTAATAACTTTGCAAATTCCAGGGGAGGGGGGGGGGGGAGGGGGCGACAACCTCCTCCTTCTAGATCCGCGTATGGGCATCTGCTTTATACTCGCTATGCATCGCACACAAATATCCCTGACCGTTTATATTATTTGTAAGAATAAGTCTGACTTTTTTTTAATACGACCAGTTACATTTTGAGATTAAAAAAAACAAGTATGGTCCTAAGTTTCAAATAGTACATGATTACGCCGTGAAACTTTTCATAGGAATTAATAAGTTAATCGTCACTTGATAAGTGATTGTTAGATTGATTTAGGTTTCCAGTGTAACAACGAATATTGCTCACTATATTCGTTGTTATTATATCTGAAATTAATAATTATTATATATTTTATACCTGAAAAGAAGAATATTTTTCCTGTGACATTTTCTCACAGGGGATCGTGGAAAATGTGATGTGTTATTTAGCCTCGTCCCTACATACATGTCCGTAGTTCAATTCAGGTTTTTTGTTTTTTTTCGGGGGAAGGGGTGTGTACACCTGAAATAACCTGACATTAAACAATTTGTATCGAAATTTTCTTGATAAATTGGTTCACTTAAAACCAAGCATACATGTATATTGAATTGAATTGTAATTATGTTACTCGCCCTTGACTGACATTTTTTCTGTCGCAACTTATGCACGAATTTTAGGGAACACTCAAGAAAATTATCATGTGAGAAAATTAGCATTTTAAAATCAGCTAGAAAAAAAAAATACTCGGTGTTTTCTTAATTACTGTTAATGCCGAGTTTGCAGTATTAAAATCATCATTTCGGCGGTAAAATTTATTTTCTTTGATCGCTTAAAATGATTTTTTTTAAATTATTCTAAATAGGGACAAAAACTCCCTATATTTAAGACGTTTTTGCAATGGAGAGTAAAATGTAATAGATATATCTGACAGTGTACAAAACAAAATAAAAGAAAAAAATGTGTAATCGGCCTGTATATATATGGTCTTGATCCGCCTATCTACTCTTTGTAATCTTTCGACACGTAACGTCACAATGGCGGAAGTGACGCCTCGGTGTATATTTTTGTGTGTTTATGTAGACAGACGAACCAAGACTATAAAGTTTGGATATGTTTTGTGTTATTCTTCTGTAGGGATTATATTTTACGGGGACTCGGTGAATATTTATTGTCGCAAAGATCGTAATGGAATCCTTTCCGTTGAGTGACTCAAAACTGCAAATAAAAGACGAAGGAAGTGTAGAATGTGTATTTTCGCGATTATACATCAAAATATTGCATAAACAACTAACTGAAAGGTAAATTCAATCATTGATTCAACAGCTTCCTGAATTATAAGAAAAAAGGTCGCATATAACAACAAGAATAAGTCTAAGATTTTTCTCAAATCTCAGCTTACGTGAGACGAATCTCACAAATGTTGGTGGCACGGTGTTTTAGGAAAATCTCAGGTGAGGCAGAAATCTAAGATTTGAGGCTGAGATTTGAGCTGAGATTTTTAAATGTTGGTGGCCCCGAAGCCTGATCTCTTTACAGGAATACTCTATGAAGCTGATCTCTTTACAGGAATACTTATGCTATGAAGCTGATCTCTTTACAGGAATACTTACTCTATGAAGCTGATCTCTTTACAGGAATACTTACGCCATGAAGCTTACTGATGCTATGAAGCTGATCTCTTTACAGGAATACTTACTCTATGAAGCTGATCTCTTTACAGGAATACTTACGCTATGAAGTTTATCTCTTTACAGGAATACTTACGCTATGAAGCTTACTGATGCTATGAAGCTGATCTCTTTACAGGAATACTTACTCTATGAAGCTGATCTCTTTATAGGAATACTTATGCTATGAAGCTGATCTCTTTACAGGCATACTTATGCTATGACGCTGATCTCTTTATAGGAATACTTATGCTATGAAGCTGATCTCTTTACAGGAATACTTATGCCATGAAGCTGATCTCTTTACAGGAATACTTACGCTATGAAGCTTACTGATGCTATGAAGCTGATCTCTTTACAGGAATACTTATGCTATGAAGCTGATCTCTTTACAGGAATACTTATGCTATGAAGCTGATCTCTTTACAGGCATACTTATGCTATGACGCTGATCTCTTTATAGGAATACTTATGCTATGAAGCTGATCTCTTTACAGGAATACTTATGCTATGAAGCTGATCTCTTTACAGGAATACTTATGCTATGAAGTTTATCTCTTTACAGGAATACTTACACTATGAAGCTTACTGATGCTATGAAGCTGATCTCTTTACAGGCATACTTATGCTATGACGCTGATCTCTTTATAGGAATACTTATGCTATGAAACTGATCTCTTTACAGGAATACTTATGCTATGAAGCTGATCTCTTTACAGGAATACTTATGCTATGAAGCTGATCTCTTTACAGGAATAATTACTCTATGAAGCTGATCTCTTTACAGGAATACTTACGCTATGAAGCTTACCGATGCTATGAAGCTGATCTCTTTACAGGAATACTTACTCTATGAAGCTGATCTCTTTGCAGGAATACTTATGCTATGAAGCTGATCTCTTTACAGGAATACTTATGCTATGAAGCTGATCTCTTTACAGGAATACTTATGCTATGAAGCTGATCTCTTTACAGGAATACTTACTCTATGAAACTGATCTCTTTATAGGAATACTTACTCTATGAAGCTGATCTCTTTACAGGAATACTTATGCTATCGTTGGACTGTGTGTGGGAGGCGTTTTGTTGGTTGTAATTATTGTGGTGTTGGCTGTTTTAAAGAACTTGAGGAACAAAAAGAAACAGACACAGCGAATGTTCATGATAGACACGATGTTAAATGGCATATCCAACACAAATTCCATGTTTCAACAGCAAGGTTGTCTGAAAAGAAACTTTATATAATGAAATGTATTGAGATAACGAACAGTATTCAAGCTCAAAAGCCCATTAAACAATACAAATTTTAGAGCAGAGCAAACACGGACCTCTAAAACATGAGTGGTGGGATCAAGTGGCATGGAGGAGTGAGCATCCCCTGCCGACAGGTCACACCCGCCGTGAGCTTCTTGTCATGATCGGGTAATAACGGAAAAAAAAGTCGTCGACAATTCAGTGTGTAAATAACGGCCTAACATTATGTATGCTATATAAAATATAAATATATAGTATGAATATATAGTATGAAAAACGTCAGTCAGCATTTGATTTAATGATAAATTGTATTTGCTGACAAGGTTATTGTATCGACCATAGAACTTACGAAATGACGACTTTAAACGAGACTGCTGATATTCTTGTTTCATCAACTTGTTTGTCAATAACTTACCTCGTTTTAGAAATTGTTCATACGTAGAGCATGCTCTTGCGAATCGAATCACCTGAGAGATATAAAACCCATATGCAGGTGATGAAGGTATATTGCTGCATAAGTAAGCTCGCAGGGAAGTTGACGATTGAAAAGTTAAAAGTCATCACGTTTATCATCGAGCCTGGCTGTTAGATTACCATTAACGTCTTTTTCTAATAAAATATCCAAATATGAAACAGATGTGTCAGACTCTGTGGTATCTTTTATTTCAAGCTCACTAGGATATATTGAATCGACACACGAAAGGAAATAACCATTGTTAATCGACAGTACATCGTCGATATATCTAACAAATTCTGCTTCATATGAAAACAAAAATAGTTTTGCTAATAACGGGGCGCTGATAAATATTTTTTTAAAATTAAGATTATTTATTTAATCTTCAAATCTTTGAAATTCCAAATTAATTTTCAAAGATATATAGCAGGATCTAGTAAACGTTCTACCAAGCCTCTTTCTTTACTACTCACGAAAGTATTAACAGAAGGAGAAACTTCAGCAGTACCTACTAAAAACATGTTCCAGAAGCGGTGTTAATCAAATGTGGATACTAAAAAATACTCTAAAGAACGTTTAGAAACTTTGAAATCATACAATGTTGCCAAACCAAATAGCATCATAACGTACGAATTTTCAACATGCCCTTTAAGCAACAATTCTTCTCGAAGAATTAAGAGCAGCGTTTTTGGCACCATAGACAACTGTTTCTTCAGTAAAAATGAAACTCGGACTTTTTTAATCTTGTGATTGGTATTTTTTCGATCTTACTTTGTTAGAAATCATTCTGATTCTACATTCAAGTACTCTGAAATTGACATTAAAAGATGCTGGAGTTTCTTATTGACAATTGATATGTATTCTTTGTATTGTTTGAAGACCAGCCCCCAAGACCACTGAGAATAGACTTAAGTCCAAATTTTGATTTTTAATATCCTGAGATTTATCTAGTATATTTGCTTAAAAATTTGCAATTTCATATAACATTTAAATTCAAATATATAATGAAAATTTTATTTCATTATCAAAATTATTTCAAAAGTTATATTGGTTTGAAATTTTGACTTAAGTCTGTTCTCAGTTTATGGTCTTGGAGCCAGGTCTCCAACAAACTGTTTGAATTCCCATGGGTTTTAATTTCCATTAGTACGATCGAAAGTTGATTGAGGTATTAAATACAAGGTGTAAAGCCTTTTTTAAATACAGAATTGACTATGGATTACCCCGTTTACCTGACTAAGACAAAGGGCTCACGGAGTATGTAACCAGTAGACAGGGGATACTTACCCCTCCATGGCCCTTAATTTCACCTCTGATGTTTTCAGAGGTCCTTGTTTGTTCTGCTCTCACGTTTATTGTGTGAGCATGACTACTACTCGTTATCTTTTATGTTTGAGATAGTAATATAGACATACACCTGTATTCATATTTCTATATTAATTGCATTTTAAAACAGGAATGTCAACAATACCTGGGTATGCGCCTCCATTAACTAGCCCTATGTATCCTTATCAGCTGGGGCAAACACCACAACATCTTAATCCAGACAATATTAGTCCGGTACAATTTGGGCAAGCTCAACCAACTTCTATCTACAACAACTTTTAAAGACAACAACGTACTAGTACAAGTTACTCAGAGCAAGAAGTTCCTCCAGAATATCCCTTTTACTGTGTATTTAGGTAACCTTGCTGTATTTGTGTGATGTATTTCGTACTCGGACACGTGGCTCAGTGGATTTAAAAACAGTTAGCTTATGAAACTGTATTGTTACTGTACGTCCAAATTAGACCTGTGTGTGAGGGTGAGGGTGTGTGTGTGTGTGTGTGTGTGAGAGAGAGAGAGAGAGAGAGAGAGAGAGAGAGTGGCAATTAAGATGTACTTGGATTCAGCATGTAATAAACTTGAACCAAAGGCAATATAAAATACATTAATTGGGATTGTAGCCGGTGTGGTAGAACATCAGAAAACTGGTCCAGGTTTTAAATATGTTTTATTAAGTTGTTAAACAAGCATTCTGAGAGTATTGCATTAGCAATACTAGTCCCCTACCGGTAAGTGTTATCTGGTTCCCGCTGAAAATTGAAAATGCCATAATTTCGTCAAAAATCAATGAAGCGGAACGAAATGCAAACTTGATCTATAAATCTTCAAAGTTAAGTCACATACCAAAAATCAGCTCAATATCTGCAAGCGTTTAGGAAAAAAGTGCGGAAAACCAAGTGGGACAGACTGACAGACAGAGGGACAGCTAAACAGACAGACGGACAGACAGACGGACGGACAGACTCAGAGGAAACCTATAGTCCCCTCCGGTTTCACCGGTAGGGAACTAATAAAGAAAAACCAAAACCTGAAAAATATAATAATTAAATTGACACACAACATATATAACAAGCATTCTGAGAGTATTGCATTTTCAATACTAGTCCCCTACCGGCAAGTGTAATCTGGTTCCCGTTAAGAATTGAAAATGCCATAATTCCGTCAAAAATCAATGAAGCGGGACGAAATGCAAACTTGATCTATAAGTAATCAAGGTAAAGTCACATACCAAAAATCAGCTCAGTATCTGAAAGCGTTAAGAAAAAAAAAATGCGGATAACCCCTAAAAATTGAAATGGCCGTAATTCCGTCAAAAGTCAATGAAGCGGAACGAAATGCAAACGTGATCTGTAACTCATCAAGATACACTCGCATACCAAAAATCAGCTCAATATCTGCTAGCATTTAGGAAAAAAGTGCGGAAAACCAAGTGGGACAGACTGACAGACAGACAGAGGGACAGACAGACAGACAGACAGACAGACGGACGGACAGACAGAAAAACGGACGGACAGACGGATGGACAGACTCAGAGGAAACCTATAGTTCCCTCCGGTTTCACCGGTAGGGGACTAAAAACGACAAAAACACAGACAATATAGAAGGACATTTAGACAAACAATTATTAGTCCCCTACCGGTGAAACCGGAGGGGACTATAGGTTTTCCTCTGAGTCTGTCCGTCCGTCTGTCTAGCTGTCTGTCTATCCGTCTGTCTGTCTGTCTGTCTGTCTGTCCCTCTGTCTGTCTGTCAGTCTGTCCCACTTGGTTTTCCGCACTTTTCTTCTAAACGCTTGCAGATATTGAGCTGATTTTTGGAATGTGACTTATCCTTGATGTGTCATAGATCAAGTTTGCATTTCGCTCCGCTTCATTGATTTTTGACGGAATTATGGCATTTTCAATTTTTAACGGGAACCAGATTACACTTGCCGGTAGGGGACTAGTATTGCTAATGCAATACTCTCAGAATGCTTGTTATAACAGATTAGACTTCATAGTTACATGAATTAATTAACTTTTATTGAGAATTCTTACCGAGACATGCACAAGTACATGTACAGATATTGCTACCTGTCAAAACATCTAACCAGATGAACGGCTAGGCTAAGAGTGCGAGATTCTAGTATGAGAATACAGTGAATAGAATTTAAAATCATGTGACCGTCTGTCCAGTGTCTATATAGATAACATACCACATTCAAACAAACTCTTTCGTACCCCATACTTACATATGCTAACGTAACTCGTATTTCACTCGTAAGACAGGATTTTTTGATATTTTCACTCGTGCTTCGAACTCGTGAAAATATAAAAAAAATCCTGTCCCACTCGTGAAATAAATTCCATATTCATCTACAAAACATTGAATATCCTCTCTCTCTCTCTCTCTCTCTCTCTCTCTCTATATATATATATATATATATATATTTGAATGAGTGGTTGGGTGGGCGTGTGTTCTTTATGCATGTCCTTCTAGGCTAAAAGAACACACGCCCATCCACCCACCCATTCAAACATATATATATATATATATATATATATATATATATATATATATATATATATATATATATATATATATATATATATATATATATATATATATACACACACACACACACACACACAAAGTAGCGAACAGCATAATCCGGATGGGAAAACTCACAACTCAACTATGTACAATTATTGAAGATGTTTTCATTATTATATGTCTAGAACCATATCTTTATTTACATATTTCTTCAGCTGAATTATTATAATTGTTTATGTTTAATCAGGATTTATTCATTTGTAAAATTTGTATAACATTGTGATATACTAGAAATGATACCTGTAAGGTGTGTAATAGTGGAAGCTTTGTACAGAGAATATTTATCATCTAATCAAACCTGCTTTTTGTTTTTTAATATGGTGTAATTAATGAAATGATTCCTTGATATTCACCACTGTACGTTGAATATATTGGCGTACATCAATTGATTAAAGTATTTGATAAATGAGTTTAAAATGCTGCCAACATCAATTGATTAAGGTCTTTGATGGAAAAAATAGGTATAATTTACACCGTTATATGAGTCACATAGAATTATTGTTTGACATCATAAAGACTCATCTGACGTTTAATTTTCTTTAAATTATTAAAATATAACGTTATATCAATTAAGATTGAACCATCAAAATGTATTAAAATGTTTATCCTATAATTTGACTCTTATTCTAGAGACAAACAACATCAATGTTCAAAGATAGTTTTAATTCATGAATGTTTGGAAAAAACTAATGGTATACATTTAAAATTGCTCCATATATAAATCTATACTAAAAAAAGTCGGAAATTCCAATGTTTTACCGAGCGGTCAAAAATCGATGTTAGACCGGTTAGTGAGACATAGGACTTGGACAGTGTGGGCGGAATGAACTATGTTTTATTTAAATTCGTTGGATTTTGACAGAACTTTACAGAATTGACCGAGTTTAACTGTAGTGCGGGTAAACGAAATTTACATCATGAAAACCAGCACAAGATATGTCAAAAAAGTATAGAAGGTATAACACATCATTTATTGACTGTATTCTCGGGCATTTGTATATTGTCGACCCTTTGAACCAAACAGTTTGTCTTCGGCCTAACGGCCTCAGGCAAACAATTTGGTTCTTGGGTCCGGCAAAACGCATGTTGCCCTCTAACCCAGTCAATAAACATACAATGTTACCTAATGATACAAAGTAACTGAAAAATCTATTGAAAACAGTTTTTATTCTTCATTGTTTTACGTTATGAATATATGTATAAGTGACCTAAGGTGTTTCCATTTCCTCACTACATCTAATCAGTCCTATATTTAATGAACTTCAGTAATTTGTGTCCTTCCAATGAAATGAGATATTTGAAAGCCTTTATGCGCACACGTCACAAATGTTTGAAATCAGTATAAATAGTTTGAATATAGAAAAAGACATTGAAATATATTGAACTAAGAAACCTTTTTGGAGAAAGAAAAGGGAATTTAAAGCGTGTGGTTTACAGGCTGGTTATTAACTTCACAGCATTTCTCCAGATTGTGGAATTTATCGTGCCATATACAGAAAATGAATGCACAGATCCTGGAATTATTTATCTTTCTTTTATGTAAGTTTTATTTATATAGTCTTTTTATATTTTAAAATTAATGTTTTAAGTAGAAATTTTGTCGTGTACTTTGTTTTTAAAATCCCCTTCAATAACTTTTGAGAGAGAAAAAAAATACCCCGGTATAACAATAATTCTGATCATATATAAGTACAAATTAATAAAGGAAATGAATTAATAATCTGAATTCTATTTATTTATTATAAAATGTATGATGAATTTTCATTGTAATTCATAAAATCTGACGTCATAAAGAAATCTTATATCGATTTTTCTTCACTAATTGGCCAACCATTCAAGCATATGAATAAAAATTTCTATTGCCCCCGTTAAATTACCTCAGGGAGAATATACAATTGACATTTAAATTGTGTGAATCCTTGAGTGGAGTTTTAGTGTACATGTATGTGCATTCCTATTTAGAGCCTGAAATGGTTCTCATTTATAGCCTTTAGACATGAAATCCAATACAATTTGGCAAAATATAAATGAATCTGACAGAACGAATTGAACATTTCTTAACACCTTTCTGAAACTAAAACATTTTAAATTGTAATACAAATTCAAAAAATGTCGAATAAATATTCATAAATTATTAAAATGATATCCAGAGAGAGAGAGAGAGAGAGAGAGAGAGAGAGAGAGAGTATCGTCAATAACTGCCAATCGTATACATGTATAAATGTTTTTGTTGTTGTAGTTTTGCCTTTGACCTCTGGAGGTTACTACTGCTACTATAACTACTCGTCAGGATACTACTACTACTACTGTTATTATTACTACACTTACGACAAGTAATGTATTAATATTACTGATATTACTACTACGCTTACGATTGATTGATTGATTGATTGTATGAAGGGCTTCAAATTTTTACCTATACTCGGCACTCAGGGCCATTGAGCAGTGAGGGTTATTTTTCGTGTCAACACCTTCCTTGACATGGGACCTCCGTTTTTGAAGGTCTCATCCGAAAGATCGGTGATTTTCACTTCTAGTGCTGGAACAGTCACTACCTATGTTCACGTCTTAGGTTTCATGCGGCACGGGGAACGAGAATCGAATCCGGACCTCATGATTACGAAGCGAACGCCCTTCCACTTGGCTACCGTGGCCTAGTATTGCATTTAACTCAACAGTAGTAGCTACAAAATAATATACATTAAAAGTTGATAGTAAATAGCTGATTATGATACGTTAATTATTTTCGTAAATTTCGAGAGGGTATCATATCAAAAATGGTCTCGAGGTAAATCACTTATTAGTCCTTAGTTTTACAGATTTCACAAAATTGTCTAGCTTTCACTTCATCATAGATGAATACTACATTTCCAATTTTTTGTCTTGGTGTTAGTTTCAGTTTTACGGTAAAATTCTCTCAGTAACTTTAAATATTCTTGGGACCATCGCTTTCAGAAATTTTTCTTGTCCGAACCCTCTAGTTTTACCAGCTTCTCCTCTATTGTATTCATTTGGTTCTTCCATACTGTTTCTGTATTTCCAGACCAGCTTCGTGATTTGATATAATTTTTTTTTTTATTTTGAGTCTACCTCTCTTCGGTGTATTACCATTGTTCTCTCTTTTTTAATATACTTAATCCTATTCTCATTCTTTGATTTAAATGGTTTCCATTCTTTTTGCCCTTTTTGTTTCTGAGTTTATGCCTTTCACTATAGAGAACATCTATTCATTGCAGTGCATTCTCCTCAGTCTATAAGTTCGTTGAATGGTGGCCTCTAGTACCGGATTGCATCTGATGCACCACTCTTGTGACGAAATATATTTCAAGTCAGAAGACTCCTTGTCTTTAAGTTCGGCATCATTCTGTTTTTTTTTTTGTTTGTTTGTTTTTTTTTTTTTGTTTTTTTTTTTTTTGTCAAGGGATGTTTGGAAAGGCCTTGACACTAGTATTGTATCCTGAGCAGAACTAGATTTTTTTCCTCTTGTTGAGATATCTGTCTCATAAATTTTGAAATTTTACACACCTCTTGGAGGAACATCGTACATCTTGTTTTCTACCTGTATCTTAGCACAATCCTGCAGTCCTATGTTTGCCTTTTTTGGATATGCTTTGTGCTGATCCAGTTTTTGGTCCTGAGAATAGGTATCCTAGTCGAGATTCGACTTTTTTTTGGTCCATTTCTTCGAATGATCCCATCTCTATGATACTCCAATAATTGTCTGTTCCAAATCCAAATGAAAACCTGATTCCAAATGACTCTTCATGAATGAACCAATCTATGTCCTCGTAAATGTTTCAGATTTACGACAGATTTGATATGTGTCTGAATTGCTGATGCTGGTTTTCGAATGATAAGAAGCTAAGCTTCTCCTTATTCGGTTTTTAAGTGAATCATCGCATATATCATTTTCTCGTTCGTCGATTTTGTTCTCCAAATCCAGAAAGGTCCATTTGCACTTAAATTCAATCTATTTGCAAGCATGTCTGTGGATAATGACCTTTTAGCAACCTCATCTAACAATATATTGGCCCATGAACTCTGTTTTTCTGAACTTGCATTTCCGATAGCAATTTTTAGCGTAACATTTGGTGCTCTCTGTGTTATTGATTGATTGATTGATTGATTGTATGTTGTTTAACGTCCAATTCAAGAGTTTTTCACTCATATAGAGAATTTAGAGAATATAGAGATTCAAATTTTGACCTTTACTCAGCACTAAAGAAAATTGAGCAGTGAGGGATCTTTATTCTTACCAACGCCTGCCGTGAAATGGGGCCTCGGTTTTTAAGGTCTCATCCGAAGGAACCGCAACTTTCACTTCAAAGTGCCGAGCGCATGGCGAAGGAACAGTTGCTACCAATTTTTTATCGACTTAGGTCAGTCGCGGCTGAGATTCGAACTTGCGACCTCCCGATCACAGAGCAAGCACTCTACCGACTGAGCGCTCTCTGTGTTAAGGAGGAATGCAAATTGCTAACTTCAGCGTTCTTATTTTGAGATTCATGAGAGTTATTTGACTTAACACGCAATTGGGTCTTGTCATTCTTAGTGCATAAGCTAGTGTGAAGACGCTTTTGGCACTCCTTACAATGTCTTGTAAATTTGCATTCCATTAGTTTGTGGTTCCCAAGACAATTGAAACATAATTTGTGTCGTTTTGTATAGTCCATTTTTGTGCAGCGCTTTTTACTTTCACGAAGTTTTCAGCTGTGTCCCAGATTCTTGACAATATAAGCAATTTTTTTTATTCTTGTAAGAAAATTAAATTGCTAGGTTTTTTTGAATTAGAAGAAGGCCTAGTGTTTGTCAAGAATGTAGCAGTACTAAAAGGGCATTCCACCTTTTTCTGGTAATCTTCCAGCTTCATTTATGTTTAATCAATAAATAGTAAATTGTTAAGTGATCAGTTGGTTGATTTGTGCTCTCTGGCTAGGTCTTGTCGTATTTTAGAAGGGAATTTGTTGAAGATGCCAGGAATGCGTAGCGAGCCACACGTCTGTCCAAGTGATTCCAAACCTTGCACATAAGTTTCCGTTTTATCATAGAATCTACGGAGCATAAGTGTTGTTTGGTGCTGGATTATCCAACAAAGCTTGCATGTATGTTTGAATAAAAATGGTCTTGTCTATACGTTTCCTGCAATGGCGTAATACTTAGTAGCTTTGTTGTACATAGTATGTGCTCCTTAATGAGAATCCTTTGATAGTTTGTAAGACTTCATTTTAAAGGAGCAACTTCAATTTGTTAAATGTTTGTACATCACTGAGTGTAATATTTGCGAATATAGCATTCTCATATCAAACCTAAAATGATTTTCATTCAAGAATGTTTCCCTCAAATGTAGGTAGATTAAGGCTAGCTAGGAAGTTTTGATACACGTTGTTTTTGCTTGATGATGAACGGAAATTGTTCATGTGTTGGCATGAGCGCAAGTTACAATGTATAGGATTACCAACGAGAGAGGTGGATGGTGCTGAATCAGACAATACATTCGGAATGAGAGTAGTAGAATCATTCTCAATGTTAACATGCTGATTCTTTTGTTATTGTTTTGATTTGACGAAGTTTACTTTCTAACTGATACAAGTACTCATCTGTTTACTGGTTTTCCTCAGCAACTTCTTCATCTGGAGTCTGCTCTAAAATTTTCTTATTTGGGTTATAATTTTTTTTATTTATTTGTATCTGTCTTCTTTTCTTGTGTAACTCTTTCCGGAAAAGTTGAAATTTCATCAAAGTCCACTGATATAAACTGTTACAATTCTACAAATCTTCCCAAAAGTGTTGTTACTGTTCCTCTGTATCCCCCTCCAATTTTCTTTAACTTTGTGTCCATGGTTCGGATCCTTTAGGTACCGATGTTTGAGAGTGGTTATGTAGAAGTAAGACAGATTTTATGATGTTGATTTTATTTGAAACTAAATAAGTCAATTTATTATTTAAAGTATTGGACTTTTGCCAGAAGTGCTGGCTTTTACAGTCAACGGACTACTTTGACACTTAAACCTGCGATATGTACGAGCAAGCGGAATTGATAATAATCATTTTATGTTTTTTAAGAAAGGTCGAAAGGCGTTTTAATAGATATGATCACGTACCAACTCTATTTCATATCCCAATGAAGTTCTAAAAATGATATTTCATGTCTTATATTTATAATTCTATTTTGATTTGTATTTGAGACTCCGTTAGGGAAGTGCAGCAAACATGCACGTACGATGTCATGTGACGTCATAGTCTGGATCTTCCAAATGCTTGTAGTACGCAAGAAAGTCTGATCATGTGATCGACTTCATGTCATCAAAAATTGAATATCAATTTCCTCAGTATTGTACTTAAAGGAAACACGTTGGCAATTTTAAATATTTGCAATTGGCATCGGTCATCCTAAAAATATATATCAGATCCAGCATGATTTTTTCATTTAACGTCCAGACAATGAAAATCGATATATGAAAACAAAGTAAAACTTAAATATGTTTATAATTTAAGTAATAATTGACAATTTTGGATGCTTATGAATTATTATATCCAACTGAAAACATGCATCAACACAAAATCATCACATGAGTAGCATGAAATAGGTGTAGATGGCGAAAAGTGATCGATATCAAAACAATCTACAAACAATACAAATCTGTAAAAAGGGCATAAAACACGGACCTCCCGGAAATTCCAGCATTATGAAACAAGACCATTATTAATGATATGGATGTATTACATCACTTAACGAGGCGGCCATTTGATTCCGGTTGGAAGGGAAGGGGGCTGGTAGATTTTGATATAAATAAATCTGTTCTTGAAAATGTTGAAAATAAATCTGTCCTCAATTGAATTAGAGTTTTGGAGCTTTGGCAGATTTCCATTTTTTTGTTTTCTTAACATTTTAACATGGTAGAAAATAATCTATCCCTGAACATTTGGAAGGAAATGTTAGTGCCGGGTTATATCTTACTATTTTTTGTTTTCAATGCTAAAATATATTAACATGTTTTTTTCAATACTGGGTCATATTCATCATGTTCCTTTTTCAGTGCTGGTGTATATGCTGGGGCAGTTGTCGGGGCCATCGTTGTCATTGTCATCATTGCAATTGTCATCTGTGTCGTCAAAAACAATCACAGGAACCGTGTGATGACAATAGGCGGCGGTCCGTCAACCACTGTGACGAACGTTAATAATGTTAACACTGTTCACCACCCACGTATGTTATTAATTTGTCAATACATAATAGATATACTATAACAAGTATTCTTGGGATTTTTAAGGATATGTTAGGCATTAGTGTTTCTCAAAAGTGAAATATAATTTTCCAATATTAGAATTCATACGCTATTTATCTCTCTGTTAAACTTATGTCTTACTTTACAGCTCCTCCAAGTTATGGATTTGGACCTCCACCTCCAAGTCATGGATACGGACCTCCCCCTCCCGGTTACGCCCAACCCTCCAATTCCATGTTTGGAGATAATAACCCCGCCTATCCACCACCACAGTATCCGCCTCCGAAGTATTAGAGTTCCGAAACATCGATAAATGTAAAAACCGATGAACATTGCAAACATATGAATATTTAACGCCTATAATTTTATTCAAGAATACTAGTATTTGTGATCACTTTCAGAATATCTAATGCTTATTTCTAAGATCTTAGCAGTAAATGAAGAACTGTCTTATTTGTCCTCCATCAAACCTAAGGATTTCACTTTCTTTTGTTTGTTTGCTTTTTCGTAGAATCGAAAGATTGTACTAGTTTGATTAAAATTGTAGTTATAATTTAAACTTATATATCATCTGAAGCGTTCAATTTTTGCTGTTTATCACCAGAAAAAGACTCGAATACCTTGATTTATAAGAATCAATAGATGAAAACAATTTATATCGACCCCACTGTAAGCAAAAACTATATTTTTAAATTATTCTATAACTAAGAGGTACATTGATTCAAATTTGATTTTTTAATAGAAAAATTCAATAAATATCTTCCACTGCGTTTTCACGAGGTTTGTGAATGGTATAGTTTTAAAATATTTGAGATCGTTGTTTCTAACCTTTTTTTCTATTTAAATGAACATGTACTGCATTTTGACTGAGTTTTCTCCACAGGAAGACATATACATACATGTAACTCTTTCTGATATGATTAATCTTTAACTTATTCTGTCATTTCCTCAAATAACGGTTAACAGGCTATACACTGTATCAGGCATCCCATTCTACTTGAAAATGAATGATAAATGGTGCATTTTTGTGTTTTTACATACTTTGATTATACGTATTAAAAAATTTTAAAAGATTGATCAACAACTTATTTGCTGCCTAGGACTGGCACTATTCTTACAAGTACTGAAAGTTATTAAGATTCATTTTATCAAATGCTACAGACAAAAAAAAAAGCTGATATTACGTTCTCTAGTCTTTTTAATGACATTGTTTGCAAATAAGACCTTACGTTGCCTCTTACTTAAGTGATATGTTTCATACTCAAGTCTTTTTATACTAATTTTGATAAGGGATTACTTAAATTACCTGATCAACACAGAGGACTCTCTGCGGGTGGAACCGATCGACAGGGGATACTTTACCCTCCTGTGCACCTGATCCCACCTCTGTTTACACCCTGTTCACAGTTTTTATTGTTTAAAGGATTTGTGAGATCGATGACTGTTCGTTTTCTTAATTTTTTCATATAGATTTATATACAAGAATTTTTGTAATCAACTTAATGCGTTTGGTATCTAAAAAAAAATCAACAAACAATATAAAATTGTGAACAGGGCAATAAAAGAACCCCCTGAAATTCCAGAGGTGGGATCAAGTGCCTAGGAGGAGTAAGCATTCCTATTAAAACAGGTTTAATAGAAAACCCAAATGAGATCTTTTGTATACTTAATAAGTACTTCACTTGACCAGGATTGACACCTATGACGTCAGAGCAATGGCGCGTAGCATCGGCGATCAAAATATGCATATTGCGAAATTCAAACTTTGAATCGCCGAAACATCAAAAATAAAAATTTTCTAGCAAAAATTTTTAAATAAATTATTTTAATAGCATGCAAAATTTGTCATATAAAAAAAATTCTGAGACGTGAGAAAAATCCTTTCAGCGATTGAGGAGCAATATGATAAACATCTATCCTTCTACCTGCAGTAATGCAGAAGTGAACAAAGAAGTAGATAGATTACACCATCAATATGCACTGGTCCCCCGGCCTACAAAGCAGGTACCAACATTGTCATTGTAAGGCTCATTATTTCAATTGATATTTAGAGGAACTTGGACTTAAATCTACAAGTGTTAATCCAACTTATACTCCTAGTTCCTTTTCTACGAAGGAAATTCTTCAAAATCATATGTCAGTTATAAATATTTTTAATTTATCCATCAATGAAATTGAATTTGAACTTGAATTTGAACCATAACTTTACTTCATTTACTAAACTACATAAACTTCCTTACAAAAAGATACATCGCAGGTTTCAGTAAATGTTTTTTCTTTACTCCTTACGAAAATATTAACAGCAGTGAAGGAGAAACTTAGGAGTAATGAAGATTGTTGACTGACATATTTCACACAAATTGTGAGGCCATTATTTTTCACACTGGATTGTCTACGGATTTTTCGGTTTTCCCGATCATGACAAGACGCACGACAAGTGTGACCGGTGAGCAAGAAAGGCTTATTCCTTCATGGCACCTGATCCCACCTCTAATGTTTTTAAACGTCCGTGTATGCTCTGCTTCCAATTTGTATTGTTTTATTGGGCTTTTGAGTTTGATTACCGTTTGATATTTTCATATTTCTCCTACACAGCAGTTAATATATGTGAGGAGTAAAGATAGAGGCTTTGCAGAGCATTTGCTGGACTCGGCTATATATATATATATATATATATATATATATATATATATATATATATATATATATATATATATATATATATATATATATATATATATATATATATATATTTGTAAGGATTTTTTGAATCTAGAATCTAATATATAATTACTATTTGTGATTATTCCTGAAACATCTCATTCTCTTAGATAAATCAAATCAATTATTAAGTTTTTTGTCTCTAAAACTGAGTAGATCCAAATTTTTATAGCGAATAGAAACCATGACAAAAATGTAGAGTTCAAAGTTGATTCCCCTTTAATTTGATCTTGACAAAAATTGCTTGCAATAAGCTTACAAGTACTGACATTTAAAGAGTCATAAATTTCCAACAGTTGTGTAGCAATTTTAATACAGATCTTTTAAATGTTTCCCATGCTTTTGATAAGTCGTCTTAGGCGATTTGCGGGGAAATACTTCATTCCTCAATCAAAGTACCGTTCAATTCCTGTTTTTAATTTTAGGGTCTTTCAATAAATTCTACGATCAAGATAAAAATCCAACACGTGTTCTATTGAGTTCATATCTGGGAAACTGATGATCCAAGGCACAGTTTCACTGGCTTCATGGCGGAGATACTTCTTCACTATTCGGGCCGGGTCAGATCTAGCGTTGTCAGACATAAGTACAGGTCAGTTTGCAAATGAAGGATCACCAAAGTGAGCACAACTAATTGGCTTAGAACGTTATCCCTATACCTTTGTGCAGTTAAGGTGCCATCAAAAATGTGCAGATCCAGTTTACATTACAAAGAGAAACATCCCCATACTGTTACCCAGTCCCACCAAATTTCTTTGTTCCCAACACGTTCTCCTGTTTAAGCTCAGACTCTGGATGTCTCCAACCCCTAAACCTGCCGTCTATCCGAGATAGCAAGAATGGGTTTTCTTCGGACCAATGGGCTCTTTGCTTTGACTGAATGTTCCATCTCCTTTGTTGTCGAGCCCACTGCAATCCTGCTTCTTTATGTTTTGAGGGGAAAAGTGGACGTTTCAATTGCTGATAGTCGCATCTGTTTCTTCTTTAGCCTCCTGTCTACTGTGCCTTAATTTGCTTCTCAGTGTGTTTTCAATGTCAAATAGACTCTGTTAGCTAATCATTTTAGAAGTCAATTTCCCTTTCTGTAGTCTTCAATCCTCTACCATACCTGCGGTTCTTCTCTCGAAAACAAAAATGCATCATAAACAAAGTTTGATTGGCTGGTTTATCTGAACTTATTCAATAAGAATTCCATATTTTTAAATTTCAAATAAAAAATGGTAACTTTTGACTAAATGTATATAAAATATGAAAATTGATGAATACAAGGGGGGGGACGTATTTGTTTGTTTGTTTAACGTCCCTTTGGAGAATTTTTTCATTCATATTGAGACGCCACCACTTGCCGGTGGAGGGTTGCAAATTTTAGACCTATACTCGGCACTCAGGGTCATTGAGCAGTATCTTTTTCGTGTCGGCATTTACTGCGACATGGGAATTCAGTTTACTCGGTCTCGTCCGAAGGACCGTTCTCAACGTCCCGCAATGGGATCTGAACCAATGACGTAAGGCTCAACACCTTAGAACGTATTTGTATTTACAGATAATAGATATTGCTTTTATCATATTTAATGCGGATTTCAATTATCATATAAGCATTTACAGTTAATTATTTTACAAATATGGCAAATTGTCGATGCTGACACTTAGTTCTGATAGCAGAGTATAATATTTATTGATTTCTTTTTTGTTATTGGTAGTTGCCTCCTGAATTTAAAGTACAGTACGTGTGTATTGAATTAAATGCACATTGGTCCTTTGTGTCCCAAACAGACAAAGAGTCTATCGCACGAATCAGAACACTAAATTCAGTGTATATATGCTAATAACCCGAGAAGATATAACATTTGATTTGATTGTGAAGAATTGAATAGCCAGTTGACTTTAAATACATGAAGTATCAGTGCTGACGAAATATAACCAAGAGCTTGGTAAAATATATGTGAAACTAAATATAAACTGTAAAACTAAAGATGTCTGTATCAGCTATATTTGGACTTTTTACAATTATTTTTGCAATTTGTAAGTAGTTTTTCTATTTTATTATTTTTTTTTGGAAGGAAAAGTGTTATTTTTTCTTTTATATGCACATTTTATTAAAAACAAAATGTGCATAAAATTCTGTAAACATCCTTACAGTGTGAAAGACCAGTCTAGATTAACGATTTTATTTTAATAAAAAATATAACTCACTGAATTAACAATAAAACATTCTTATTATCCTCAACTTATTATCTCTATATAAAAAATAATGATAGCATTAAGACAAAAAGAAATATACCTTCCACATAGATATACATGTAATAATATTTTCCTTGCAGTGGGGGTATACGCTACCATTTTATCAAAAATCATAAAAATAACAATAGGTGTGTGTTTGTATAAGTAAAATGAATAATTTTAACCGCACATTGTTTCATTTTTTGTTTCAAATTTCTCAATAATATAATATGATTATAAATTGTGTAGATTTAGAAAGGCGATGACAAAAAGGAAGAAAATTGAATATCACAGAAAGTCTACAGTTTCTAAATATTCTATAGTATGGATATCTGCATCATTTACAACCTACATGAGTCCAAAAATATATACCAGTAATTTTACATTATTTGTGTCTTTTAGTACAATAGATACATTTTTTGTAGCTGTACAGCCCTCCGAGTCAGCATCTTATTGCTATTACAGATACGCTTATAGTAGATACTACTGCTACTATTACTATGACATGAGCGA